ACTTACGTATACCTCCTTCCAATTTTGTTCATTGAGATGTTTGTTTAATGCCTCCATGGATTTAACTGATTTATCTCTTCTGTAGTTCATGGTGATGTTTTGTTGTATGGAATGTTTGCATTTGAAGACTGCGAAAACAGGTAGGTGGTCACCAATATCCGTCATTAAAATCCCTGTTTTCCTGACATCATCCTTATTATTAGTGAATATATTATCAATGATTGTCGCAATCCGAAATGTAATTCTGGTTGGCCTGTTTATCAAGGGAAATAAACCTACACTATACAGTGAATCTGCAAAATCCTTAGTTATCTGTCCAGCCTCATGTTCTAAATTAATATTAAAGTTCCCACATAGAAATAATGTTTTGTATTTAATGTGATCAACCAATTCAATATTTTTTTTCATTAAATGTCCCAATACATGATCCTGGTGCTCTATAAACACAACTAAAGTATTTTTAGCAGCTTCATTGCTGATTTCTACAGTTACAATTTCCATAACATTATCTTCCATCATTGTCATTTCCTTAACTAGTTTACATTTTAGATCTGATTTAATGTACAGGGCAACCCCATCTCTTTTATTTTGTTCTATTTACAAAATAAAGTTCATACCCTTCCATTTGTACTTCATCCATCATATCATCTTTGAGCCAAGTCTCTGTTATAGCAATCACACAAAATTTGTTTTTGAATTTATTTAAACAATCTTTGATAATTAATAACTTAGGAAATAAGCTTCTACTATTAATGTGGATAAGTGACGTTGTGTCCTTAGTCATTCTCCCACAGTTCAATTGTTCTTCTCCAATATAATCACAACTTATGTTTAATTCATATAAATTTCCATCTATTTTATTGTCAATATCATATATTTGATCATCTGTATCCATTTCAGTTGAGTGATTTTTGCCAGTTTGAATCAAGACCAATATCAAACCAAGTTATCCATGTTGTTTTTACAGTATTCAAAATAAGTTTGGAAGAATAAATTCTGATGATCTTAACCATAGTTTGTAAACTTGTTTTATATACTCATTTATCACTTGTATTTTACTAGTACTGTTAGTTCCTTAATGATCAGAATCTTTGCCTGCTCTGGAGACCCATTCAGTTTAATGAATACATTACAGTTTGCAGTCCATGTTGACTGTATTTTCTTTTGCTTTCTCAGAAGTCTTAGAAGTTTCTTTTTGGAGGCATTGTTACTGACTCACCCCAGTAGAGCCTGGTCTGGTAGCTGGAACAGAGCCTGGTCTGGTCGCTGGAGCAGCACCTGTGCGTGGCAGCTGGAGCAGAATCTGGGCCTGGTAGCTGGAGCAGAACCTGGGCATGGTAGTTGGAGCAGAACCCGTCGCTGGAACAGAGCCTGGTCTGGTTGCTGGAGCAGCACCTGGGCGTGGTAGCTGGAGCAGAACCTGGGAGCAGAACCTGTTGCTGGAACAGAGCCTGGTCTGGTCACTGGAGCAGCACCTGGGTGTGGCAGCTGGAGCAGAACCTGGGTCTGTAGCTGGAGCAGAACCCCGGCCTGGTAGCCCAGTAGAGCCTGGTCTGGTAGCTGGAGCAGCACCTGGGCCAGGGTTAGGGTTGTTTTAATGGCAAAGAGGTTTCTAGGCTTTTGTTGTAGAACGCCAAGGCTGCTAGCTTCAAATAAAAGAGAGTTCTGGACTTAATATTCTGAGATTTACCCAAGATGAGTGAATTCATTTGACTTTTGATGCATAAAAAAACACAGTTCATTCTAATCTGAGATGACATTTTGCGCACGGGGGGGGGGGGGGGCTCCTAGCTGTGGCGCAGCGCCACGCCCCAGCCTATGTGGGAGAGACACTGGATTTTCTCACTGCAAAAATCTCAATATATTCTTACATACTGCCCCTTTAATGCTGCTTTCAGTCCCAAATTCTTCCCTGATGGTTTTATAGTCTTGGTAGAAAAGCCACTTTTGTTCTCTATAGCTGCTGATTCTGTGGGATAACTGACATTGGTTGGTGCTCTTTTTATGTGTTCTGATTGTAACAGTTTTTATTTGTACTCATTTTAGTCATGTTTTATTGTTTATGGCCATATTTGTTCCTCTATAGAGGTGCAACATAAATAAAGTTACATATACTAACAAAGAATAAAGCATGAAAATAAATGTTTTTGTTTTTTTTTTATCTGAGAGTGAAAACAAATGTGTTGCGAGAGGTGATGGCAGGAAACCAGAATTGTGATTTGTGGAGTGAAACCCCAACGTGTAAACACTGATCTGCATGCTGCTGTTACTGCCGTCACTTTGTTTGCACCTACTGGGACAGCTGACACTAGAGAGCAAAGACAACAGGAAACCTGACCTGAAGCCACGTAGCACCTCCCAGCTTCTCTGGCCCTGGAAAACTAGGCTCTTCTTGACCTTTGACCCTTCTCAGTTTATAAATGATGTCACTAGTTTTAAAGGGACTTTACGGAGTTTTGAATTTTTATGCTCGCGTTTGCCCCCTCAGGCCAAAAGCGTAACGGCAGCTTCAATAGTAGGCTCGTGCACAAGGCGCACACGCTGTACGTGCACACTCCTTAACGAAAATAACACCTGAGACAGTCCCTTGTGTGTGTGTGTGTGTGTGTGTGTGTGTGTGTGTGTGTGTGTGTGTGTGTGTGTGTGTGTGTGTGTGGCCCGGAGGACAGAGGACAGGAGAACGCGCAGCTAATTAATTAAATAATTTGGTTCTGTACCTTTCTCTTCAGCACAGCCGACAAAGGTTTATGATGGGTCAGTCCTCCTGCATGCTCAGATCATTCCCTTCCCTTGCTTGAAAAATTGTTCCAAAATGAAAGTTGAACCCACGTCTTTTTTTATCTGTGAATTCAATGCCGTTCGGCGAGTCTCAAATAAAAATGTGGGCATCTTACTGTAAAAAAATATACCATTAATGTAAAAAAGAAACTATAAATAAATTATGTTCGCTTCCAGAATCAAACCCGGGTCTTCTGCACGAAAGCCCAACATTTTACCAGGCAAGCTAAAGCGCCCAGTGATGTCTTTGGTATCTGTAACATATATATCCTGATGACAGCTGAAACAACGTTCAAAGAACGGTTTGGAGGGCTATGCCTGAGCGTGAACGCGCATGAAGCAGCCTGCTCGACCCGAGCAGCTCTCTTTTTCTGTGATTTTACAGAAAAACAGGCAATCACAGTAAAAATGCCAGGGCTCATTCTACAGGACCAGGGCATTGCAGGAGAATGTATGAAGAAGAAATTTATTATTTCTATACATGTTTTGGCTGTCAACCTTCCATAATGCCCCTTTAACTAATTCGTTCATCCAAGGCTCTTTTTCTTTCTTCTGTTGCATAACCACTTTTCTTCTTGGGGGAAGTTCAGGTAATCCAGCACCACATTTAGTAGAACTTCTGAAACTGTAATGATGAGAGAAAATGCACCAAATTTACTTGTGTGTAGATTAAATTAACGAAGGAGGACGATTTCCACGTGTTTATTTGCTTTTTCTATGTTTTCCATCGGAGTGGGTTTAGAAAGAAGAGAAAGAAATGTATTTTTCTTTGGATTTTTTTCTACATGATGGTTTTTCCAGAGTTGAACATCCAGGAGATTTATGAACCAGGCGTCCATTTTCTCCTCAGCCTGGGAGTCAAGCAGCAGCAAGACCTTCATGTTTCACTGGCAGAAGACGTCTACGGAGTGGACAGCTGTCAGGTTCCACATCTGCTAAGTATATCAGCAAACATCAACTTAGATGTTTTACAGGAACTTAAATCTTTCATTTAAACTCTTTCTTTTCTTTTAACTCTGTCTCTATTGTTGGTTTATAGACACTTTCCTTTTGTGGACTGAAAAATGTAACCTTTGTCTTATCAAACTAGAGAATTAAGTAATCAATTAATGACAGCAATAAAGGAATTTCAGCTTTTTATTCTGATGCATAAACATAAAGGGATTAAATATTATCCTATTGATCATTTTCACACAATAATCAGTTTGATTTCTGCTTTCAAACGTCTCATCTTATGTGCAGGAGTCAGTTTGGAAAACGTTGTTTTAGTGAGTTTTTAAGAGGAATCAGTTTCACAGAAAACCAAAGTGTGTGTGTGTAACATCTGTTTAAGTGGTTTCAGGCACTGGATAATGAGGCTTCATCAACGGGCCAGTGGTGGATTTTTTTTGTGTGTGCGTAAACCACAACCATACTTTTGTTTTAGAAGGAGCAACAAAACATTTTAGTGATCCAGTTCAGATGCTTGTTTGAAATGAGCTCCATATGACAAAATGGCGCAAGTATTTAACCTGAAAAAACCCTTTTAATTAAAAACTTTAACAATAAGTTTGGTTTAAAGACTTTTTCAGAATGTATGAATTTTTTATTGCATTTTGACAACATAAAAGTTAATTTTGAGTTTAAATGGCTGCTACAACAAGCAGCTTGTAGAAACCACAGCAAAATATTCAAATATGCAAATGTCTACGTTTTAGGCCAGATTTAAGTTAAGCTGAAATGATTTATATATATATATATATATATATATATATATATATATATATATATAAATTGCAAATGCTGCATATTTACAATTATTTTAAAACTTCATCCACATGTTAAGTGAAGCAAAATTGTTTCATGAAAAGTTTTGAAAGCCTGATATTTTCTTGTATATTTAAAATTTTGTTGAGATTTTTTTTCATCAATTTGATATTTAAACAAAATCTACATTTAAAGTTTCTAAATGGACTCAAATTTACTTTTTTCTGAGTACAGATGAGTAAAACCGATCTAGAGGAGACCCGACCGACATGATGCTCCTCCTAAAACTCGGATGATGCAGCCTCTCCTCCGGTTCTGCGTGCCGATCAGGATCCGGATTCTTTTGGAGTCTGGAACCAAACCAAACAAACCTTTTAAACAGAATCTCAAAGAACTTCTCGTCCTCGTCTGGTTGGTGGAGAGGATCACAGCTGATAGACCACGCTTGAGATAAAAAACGGAGCTCGCGCTGATTGATGGAAACGTCGCGCGCTGAGATGATGAGACTCGGAACTCTTATTTGCGTCGTGTTTTCACTTCCCGACGTAATGCGGACTCAAACAGGTAAGAAGCTAGTCTTTAGGAGTTTTCATCCAACACCAGCAGAATCCATAACTCCATATTGCTTCTGGGATTTCCCCCCGCCCCACTCATTTTTAATTATGTTTTTATTCATCCCTTCACTGGTTTCCTCTCGGAAAGGAAGTGGACACTCTGACTTCCTGTTGAGAACCAGGTGGGAACTGCTGCCTCTCTGCTTCCTTTTGACCTCTTAGGTCAGAGCTGAAGCAGTCCAGAGGAGACCTTTTTAGCTCTAAAAATGGTGCAGTTGGTATAATTGTTACTTGACAGCCAGAAGGTTGCAGGTTTCAATCCCAGGTGTGGTCTTTATGCTGGGTTAGCATGTTCTCCTGTATGTTAGGTTAATTATCTGCACAGCTAAATCCACAATTGTAATTCGATTTGGATAAATAAGTCTAATTAAAACATGCACAAATATTCAGAATCATTCAATTATTGGCGGTTCTTTCTCCACTAAACTTCAAAGCCTGCAGTGATGTTTGACATCTTTCTGTGTCAGAAACTGACCCATGCAGAGACTTTAGTGGGTATTTTATCATCTACACTAGCAGTCTTGGTAAACATCCAGTATTTATTTCATGTCTGACTGTTTGCAGCGCTTCCCCCTGAGTGTGCACCTGGTGGCCACTCGGTTCTGCAGGATTCCTACCGCAGCACCAACTTCAGATCCAGCAGGCTGCAACAGGCAGCACTGCAGGACTTCATCTGTGACCACTCCCTCACTCCAGGCTGGTACCAGTTTCAGATTTTTGACAAACGGGCTAGTATGCCCACCCAGTGTGTGGAGGTAAACCAATTTTCTTTCAAAATTTCTGTCATATTTGTGTCCTAATTTCTGATGAAGTAGCTATTTTATCAAATTACCTGTATTGTGCTATTAAACACCTTCCAGAGCAAAAATAGAACCAATATGTGATCAAATATTACAGTTGGCACCATTGGGAAGTAATTTCTTATGAAATGTCAATGATTTTTTAGCTATTTGTACAACTAGATGCTGAAATCACCCCCCCCCCCCCCCACACACACACACACACACACATACACATACACACCCCATGCTGCAGACCCAGAAACCACAGACTCACCATTATGTCCCATTCAGCAATTGCCAAGTTCATAGGTCAGGGTTCTTTTAGGCATTCTGCTGTGAAGCTGCAAAGTCCTCTGGCAGATCACCGTAAACCTTTACCCTTATATGACCTTAGTGCATTTTTTTTGTGCTCAAATGACAAAAATGTTAGAAAATTCAAGGGTTATATAAGGGTTAAAGGGGCAATATGTAAGAATTTTACAATGAAATAGTCACTAAATAATCTAATGTCTCAATCATGTTGAAAGGAAGGTTACATTGAAACAAATTTGATTCTCAAGTGGGTGGCTGGTTGGATGTTATTTTCCTTTAAAAAAATAAACAAAAAATAAAGGGGGGCATCGTTACTGTTTACAATGAGTGAGTTTGTGAGGTTGTTGAATCTGTGCCGAGCTAACGCTGCAGTGCCAGCATTTGCAATTTGACACCAGCAGGCAAAGCTCCAAAGAAATTAAACCAGTAAACAGGAGCGGCCCAAAAGTTTTTTCTTGTGTCCCTAAGAAGCCACAGCACCTTTTTTTAAACTCTAATATCAAGTGAAACATGCTAGAGGCTAACGTTGAGCTATCAAATGCTAATGGTGAATTAAAAGCAAATAGTCAGCTCCAAAAACATCTTAAGCTACTTTTTCAATTACCAACAACTCAGTATTACAGTGAAATTTGTGCGTGTGTGTGTGTGTGTGTGTGTGTGTGTGTGTGTGTGTGTGTGTGTCTGTGTGTGCGCGCGTGTGTGTGTGTGTGTGTGTGTGTGAATAATGAGTCTATCGTGGCGTTTTACTTCCTTTAATGAGTCATTCAGAACTATAGCAGCACGCTAACAGCAAGATGGCAAACAACAACACATCTTCTGATGCTGGAAGCACACTACCATAATAAGTGTAGTAAGGGCTCCCTACTATAAAACACCCAAAACACGACTCCATTTGCTTTGCATCGTTGATGTTTTCTCTCCACAAATAATACAAGCCTGAAGGAGTTCTGCTATATGGTGGAGATGCTAATGCTAACAGTTAGATTCTACTAGTTGAGATGTTCTCTGCTGTTTCCTGGATGCTAAACCAACAACAGCCTTCCCCGTCGTGAGTCATATTGCGTGAGTCCGTGGACGTTAGCTGACAGTGTGATGTAAATCTGTCAGATTTTTCTAATCCCAGAGTTTAACTGTATATTTTCTATCAGAAGCCTAAAATTAGGCTGGATTATTTTATTTGTTACAATTTTAGGTGTAACGTACCAAAAGGGTCAATTTTCACCTATACATTAACCAACATAATAACCTTTCATCTACAGGCAAAAATCCACTTTCTATGCGGCCTTCTAAATCCAGAAGGTTCTGCTCAGCATGTGTTGACATTCCATGAAGACAAAACATTAAAATAGACACTGTCCCAAGGTCCTACAATCTCTGCTTAGAAGCCAGACAACATTCTTCACTCTGAATAAGTGAAGACTCCATGATTTTACAGTTATAAGTTAAATTATCATTTGTGATGAATGAACAAGATGTTTAAATCAAATGTTTGAAAAATCTGTACTTAAATCAATGAATTTGAAATGAATATTGTTCTTACAATGATCCATTTATTTCACAAATCTGTATGTGTTTGATTTAACAAGTTAATCATTGTTTACACTCATACACATGACAATAAAATACAGATTAAGGTTAATATGCAGCTCACATAGGAGTGTTAAGACATTCTCATTCACAGTGTTAAAAACATCTTTGTATCTGCAAGAAGGCGTGGCTTTCTGAGAGATGTTGGTAAATATTTTAGGGCTGCAGCTATCGAATATTTTTGTAATCGAGTACTCTATCGAATCTTTTATCAATTAATCAAGTACTCTAATAAGTTACCCTTTTGTGTTTGTAAATCATTATATCAAATAGCATGTTATAAAATATGAAAGACCTCTTAAATTGAGCAAGCAGTTGCCAGTTATTCTTCAAGTTTTATTCTAAATTAAATTTTCAAAACTTCAGCACTTCAACTTTACTTCACAATAAACAAATGCCTGTACAAAAAATAAGTAAACAACCTGAGCCGACTTTCCCCTCATGCGAGAATCTACTAGCCCGGCAAGCCAGACAAAAACAAGGACGATAACTGATTAAGTAGCGCTGCGAGCGGCTGCGGCCCAAACAGCACAGAACCGCTCACGGCGCATGCGCAAACATGGCTCGCCAGCTATTTCTCTATTAACACATGTCCATTTTAATTTCTACACTTTTTTCACACACAATAACAAGGATTGTCGAAAGCATGTTTTGCCATGGTTATGTCAAATTATACTGATCACAAAATATTTATTTACTTTCTTTCATTTTCGTCCGCCACTCTCATAAATACCTGTGTCCTCCTGCAGCAATCCCGAGGGACAACAGACATCAATAACAACACAATAAAAAGTCTGATGTGTTGTGTAAAAACCGCTATTTTTAGCACAATTTTAGGTCCGACGTGTTGCTACCAGAAGCACAATGTGAGCGGAAACTGAGTGCTACAAACGAAAAAGTCGCACAGTGTCCACAAAATGTATAGCGGACCTCCGAGTCCGCTTGCAGAAGTGACATTTACAGGTGCTGCAGCATCGAGGATGTGGTGTTGTGGTTGGCTAAATCCATTTTACAGTATTTACACCGGACTACGTTTTCCGCCTTACGACGTGAAAAATGGTCCCACACATTTGATACTGTCTTTTTCGCACTCCACCGGGGTCCACGTTGTCCGCCATGGTTTAAGAGAAAGTTAATTTATATTCGCTACTCGCGTGTGCTTTCAGTGCAGTGTGTATGTGCGTCACTTATTTCGGTCCGGGTGAAACATGACCCCGGGCGATTGCAAAGCCATGATTTAATTAAACATGTGTAAGGGAAATGAGAGGTTCTTACATTTTATTCAATGAGCCGTAAGGCATGGGATAGGAAATATGAAATCCGCCTTACGGATCGGGGTTTATTTAAACCAGAAGATGGGATCTTTTTAATGCAGAGATTATGTAACCGTTATGTATTCACTCAGAGACAACAGAATAGAGAGAGTCGAGTTTAAAAGTTAAGAATTTTGTTACTAACAAATTAAACTAGGCTGACTTCAGAACTAAGTGTATAGTGTAGCTAAAAATGGATGAGGCGGTGAATGGATGACGTGTCATGTAAATCAGAACCCGCAAATCCGAAGAAGCGATTAGTTCTGACGAGAACTGAAGATGTTGGTTTGAAATAAGCTTGGGTTAGTTTCAGAAACAGCATGAGACACCATCAAGTCGCATCTACCTGCCTTGTGGAAGTCCTCTGGTAGATCAGGAATGCCAAGGTCCAGCGGACCCTCTTTGGAAACCGAGCTGGTAGAAGAAGCCGCGGTTCCGACCAGACCCGTCTTGAGTTACCTCTGGCACACGACACTTTTATTGGCGTCTGTTCAGACCCAAGCCTGGGTCGGTGGAGCTTTTATTCTGAAAGGAACTGATGTCGCCGCTGGTTGTTATAGCGACTGGATTTTTCAGCTTGTCGTGGTTCTTTCGGTTAAAGAGTAAAAGGTCATGATTGGCCACTCAGTCACTTTCTCTGGAACGCTTTGAACTGGCTTTAGAGCTGACGTGGCGTAATTTTATACCTCGGATGTTATGGTTTATTGTCGAATGAAAATTACCAAACACCGCCAGAAGCACGTCTCTGTCAGATCTGTAAAGTTCCAATTGGATCAGTTAAAAAATGTGTTATGTCTTGTCCGTTGGAATCCTTAAAGTCACAGTACTTCATTTCTGAGATCATAATAAAGTAATTAATATTTTAATTTCACAGGTCGGTCACATCTTATTATTGACTAACACTTTGATGAGTTAGCTTATTAAAATAGAGTTCTTTGATTAATTAAAAGAAAAGAGTTCATTCTTCGTTCTTCTGTCTTCATTGCTGGAACGTAAACAGTTTAGAAGCGAATGCATGACCTTGGAGCTGTTTCATCCACTCTGGCGCTGTGTCAAAAGGAAACTGCTGTTAGAGGGTAGAAATGGCTCCTTCATCACGTTACACATGAATTAAATGAATCCTCGAGGCAGAGAATTTGACTCGAGGCTTTTTTCTACTTAAAATATTCGAGGTACTCGAGGAATCATTTCAGCCCTAAAATATTTAGAAACGTGTCAAATTCTGACTGGCCAAACTTGGCCAGAACTCATAACAAAGTAGAATGACTTTTTCTCGGTTTTCTCGCTGACCCTCGAACCGGCCAACTCGGGAAAGAAGCATTTTTGAAACCATCTTCTCCTTTGACCTCCTGTCAAAGCCTCTCTGCAACACTGCGGCTGATACCAGACAACCAGCTCTTCTAAGAGCCAAGCAAACATCAACCTTAGATGCAAATAAGCATTCCAGCTTCATGCCTTCACCTCGAGGGATCACAGACTGGACGGGTCCTATCGGAGCTATCGACGGGTTCCTGATATTAGAGGTTCACTCCACCGGCAGTGACCGTCGACCCCCCGGATTAAACGAGAACCTCCACACGAAGGGTGCATAGACTTGGCATGACAGATTGCGTCTGATGCTGTTTTAAATAAACAACTCTGTAGTTTATAACAAACAACAACTTCTTTTACACCTAGATTTCACAATTTTTCTCAGAAACAAAGAACGGTTGCTACAACATCTAGCTTCCATCACACGCGAGTCCACCACACCACATCTCATTATTCAAATCTTGTCATGTATAAATTATTAGTTTAGGAAAAATATTTAAATTCATTTTATAAACTATATACTTGACTCTTTCTGAATTACTACGAAGTGTGTTTATGGTCCCTAAAGAAGCAAAGAACCCTAAAATCTTCTGATTAAATATTCAAAGATCAATCAGATTGATATTTCATATTTATATGGAATCATCACATCTTATTGGTCATAATTAATATATTTTAATTGCTACATAGGGGAAAATATATAACTTTATTCACTAACTAAATAATGTCCCCTCACTTGTTTCACTCAGGTGAACCACTGTGGGACTCAAGCTCCAGTGTGGCTGTCTCTGGGCAATGGAGAGTCACTGCCAGCGCCGCTGGAGGTCCGGCAGCTGACAGCCTGTGCTACCTGGCAGAGCTTTCAGAGCAGCAGCAAAGACTGCTGCATGTTTCGTATCCCAGTCACCGTCCGGAACTGTGGGGAATTTTACGTTTACCTGCTGCAGCCCACTAAGGGATGCATGGGCTATTGTGCACAAGGTGGGTATGTGCAGAATGTTTTATCGGTTGCGCCAAGAAACAAGGTCCTGAGAGGATTATTTTGATCATCTGAAGATTTGTTCTGTTCTGTTAGAGAACCGCTGTTCTGTTAGAGAGCTTTTGAAGTTGTTGGTAAGGTTCTCAAAATTTGTAAATTGTATATTTTGGTATTTTAAAACCCACATAACGCATCAAGAGGGTTATCAATACTTTTTTTTTTTGCTCTAATATTTTATTTATTGTATTCTCATTTAGTTGTATTGTGTTATTCAGTGTTTTATGTTGCTGAAACATTCAGTTCTGTTATTTTATTGGTAAACTCCAGACTGGAGGATCAGATATCTATTCATGCGTGTTCATAACAGGAGATAATCATTGAAATTAGAAACATCAATGAGTGAAAGTTTCAGGATGTTATTTAACCCTTTAACTAGAGGGTCAACAGCTTATAAAGCATAATTTAGTCCACTGATCCTTTTGAATCATGAAGCTACTGAACTTTACTGAGTAACAAGAATAACAGCAAAAGTTAAAAAATGCAGAAAGTTAGAATAAATATGTAAATATTATTACCTTACATTAACATTATCTTATTATTTTTATTTTCTCATTATCTCATTATTTGCCTCCTGTTTGTTTCTAGTGAGGATATTTTTCACGATTTTTTTTTCTGTACAAATGACTAGACATGAACATAAAAAACAATAAATCATTTTGATTATTTATGTTTTTTAAATAACATATTTTCTTATTGTCAAAACTGAACAATGTGCAAGACGTGCAGGGAAGTGAAATGGTGTGGCAAACAGCAAAGCAGTAAATATGACTTGTTTTTTTTTTTTATCTATCCGCCCACTTGGGTTGGATGTCACTTACAGTGCTCAGTGCATGGAGCGCTTCGTGGAGTTTTCTTTCTTCATAAACCTGATTGGTTTGTGCCCCCTGACCACTTGATGCCCTGCTCGAAGTGTGTGAAGCATGTGGGTGGGCTTGATAGATTTCCAGGAGAGAGGGATAGGAGGACCTCATGAGCTGCTCTCGCTATTCGCTGCAGAGACATCCAACAGGATGTGGTGCAGCTGCCATACCACACAGTGATGCAGCTAGGCAGGTTGCTTTCGGTGGTCCCTCGGTAGAAAGTGATCATGACATGGATTGGTGCTCTGGCTCTGGAGGCACTAATAAGCTTTTCTGGTCAAGATTTTGGTGCAGATTATCATTTTTGTTTTCCTTGTCCACCTGATACTGACTGAAATTAATGGAGAGTAGATGCCTTTGTAGCAACTTGTGACTGCTCCAGGTGATGCTCAGATGTATGTAAATGTAAATCTAGTGCCGTCAGAGGCCGGATGTGACTAAATCCTGGTGAAATTCTAGTGGCAAAACCACGACTATTTACAACCAAAAGTATGAAGCAATAATGTGCAACTTTTTTTGCAGAATGTGTTTTCCTCTAGACCCGACTCTCTTCAATATGATTAAGAATCAGAAAAAGTGAAGGTCTTGTGTTTCTTATCCTGGTGCAACATTCTGCATTTGCTTGATTAGACTAACTTTCTCCAAATCACCACTTTGTGGTGATTTGGAGAAAGTTTTAACGTCAACTGCTGTTTTTAGCATCAAATGTCCTCAACTCTCATCTCTGTGTTATGCTGTTGACTTAAAAGTCAGGTTGTAATATTAGGACTGCACATTGCACACCTTCTTTCATGTCATAGCATCAACTGTAACATCATCTTATGTTGAAAAATGATGAAACTATGGTTGTTTTGGTCACATCTTGAAAATAAAGTCATGCATGGTCTCACACGATGATTGGGTAGCTCTCAGACTATGTTAATGACTCTCAGCTCCCACCACTTGAACTATGAGCTCAGTAGCTGTAAAAGTTTAGCCCTTTCGTGTGTGCCTAGGCTGATTAGCCGTAGTGGCCATCTCGAATGGGAGTGTTGTAGATATAAAACCCACAAAGACACAGTTAAAAACATTATTGGATGCTTTTTGCCTTTCAGCAGTGTGCAATAATGATTCAGCTAATGGGGTAAACAGGTAAAAACTTCCTCTGACTTTGTTTTTCAGAGATGCCTGAAACTTTATCCTCAACATCACTGATTTGTGGTCCTGGCGAGGTGAAGGTCGGTGGAACGTGTAAAGGTGAAGATCCTGCTCCATCTTTACGGCTGCATTTGCTTCCATAATTTTGGTCAAAAACCAAAACAATCAGCAGGCGGAGGACTTGAGCACCAGCGTTCCTCTTTCTCTGCTTCTCTTAATTAGCTTAACATGTGTTCCTGTGTAAACTGAGCCTTATTGCTATGGCGATTCAGTTGATTATGATTTATACGAAGGCAAGTTTGAGAAGCATGCATGGAAGGATAACTACATATGTGTGGGATTAGAATAGCCTGAATGTTTCCTTCAACCTTGATTGTCCCAGAGTGGAGCAGATTAGTCGGTAAAAGGTTAGTCATGTTTTTAAAGATGTGAGAAAAGCAAATTTATATGAATTTCTTTATATTTTATTACATTTAAAACATTAAAAGTTCTGAGGTCTTAAGTACGTATGCTCTTGTGGACCTACCCATGAATTCTTAAATGTCTCAATGGGAAGAAAAGTTTGAGTTTAAGCAACTCAAAAGCAGGTTTTGAACTAATTAGTTAAAGCTGTTGTAGACCCCCCTGAAGCGTGATGTCACACAACCACACCCCTCCCCCTTGAAGCGTGATGTCACACATCCACTCCCCTCCCCCTTGAAGCGTGATGTCACACATCCACACCCCTCCCCCTTGAAGCGTGATGTCACACATCCACACCCCTCCCCCTTGAAGCGTGATGTCACACATCCACACCCCTCCCCTTAGCCCCTGGCTGGAGGGCAAGACGCTGGCACCTGCCAGTTGACCACTGTTGTTTATCTGTTAGTTTCAATAAACAGAGCTAAACAGCAGCAAAAATAAAAAATTTCAGCAAGGTAAACACATGTAGAGCTGTAGGCTGCACAAGTAAACGAAAGGACAGTAAACATTACATTTTACAGGTTTGCAACTGATAAAATACGCTGAAGACAATGGTTAAATGCCAATTCTAGTGACTACACCCCCAACATGTTGACAGAAAAGTCTCGTGACTTTTATAGGTCCAAACAAATGGACTTCAAATGGTCTTTTTCTTTTTGGGACTCTGGTAGTTTGTCCTAGAGTTGAAGTGGTAGCAGCCGGCTGTTTCTCCTTCTCTGACCATTTTGAGTGGAGAACCTCTCACATCAGCGGTGTGCTGTTGCTCGATACGTGAGTGCAAAATGAATGGAGGACCCAGGGAAGTGCGGTGGTTCACCCAGACCATCAACCAGATGGTCCAATGATTGCTTTCGGTGTGAAAAGTGTTATCAGTGTAGGTTTATAGACAAATATGAAAGAACCACTTTATTCATTTTAATCTCTCCATTTTCTCTTGATCAGCTAATCGGCCTCCCGTTCCGTCTGTGCCAGCTATTGTCTCGGAGATGATTGATAACACCGTCTACTTAAAGTGCAGCTTTGAGAGCAGCTCCAACAGCTCCTCTCTGGGTCATGTGATGACCTGGTCCCGCCTCTCACCTGATGGCAAAAAGGAGGAGCTCAAACAGGAGACCACCATCCAGACCTCGTCTTTATTAGAGTTGGACGGCTTCAATCTCAGACTGGGGGACAAGGTGGGAATCTGGGTTGTTGGGTTTAACCTGATTTTTAAAAAAAACTGTGGATACAATATACCTCATCACCACCTGTGTGAATGTGTTTGGTTTTGGTAAATGACTGGATGTGTTGTAAAGCACCTTAGAAACTTAGAAGGCACCATATCAAATACATGCCATTTATTTATTCAGGCACACAGATTTATCAGTTTAGACACATAGTCAGGGTTACAATTTTATCCGCCAAGATTAAAGCAATAAAATAAGAACTTATAATGAAGTGCTGGTCAGATTTATGGTAGGTCTAGTTATTAGTTTTTGGGTAAAGGGGAGAGAGATGCCAGGCATGAAGAGTAGTGGAGCGGTAAGGAGGGCCTGCTTGACCCGGTCAAAGGCCATCTGACAGGCCAGAGTCCAGCTTACCAGGTCAGAGGCCCCCTTCCAGGTCAGGTTGGTCAGGAGGCTGACCGGTTGACCTTCGTTTTTGTCTTTGGGGGCAAGCACTCTGAGGATTCATGATGGAGCTGTGCAATGTCGGCCATCAACTGACTGAGAGTTTCTACTGGGTGTGGCATGAGAGTGTGTGTGCCCCACGTTGGGCACCAATGTAACAGAACTAGCTATGTCTAGGATAACACGCATGACACATCACACAAATTCAGCCTTTAACACAGTGTTCTTTACGGATTAGGCTTGGGCGGTATCCAATGTTTAATACAATCTAGTTTCCTTCACATTTTATCTAGGTGTATGGTATTACTGCGACAAATTTAAAAATTATGACGTAAGCCTCAAGTGGAATTACCGAGCTGTTAGTTTGGACCGTCACAGTTCAGGAGCTGAATAACAAATGCTATTACCAAAACAATAACAACATAACACACGTAATAATAAAAAAACGCAGCTTATAAAAGTTTTGTTTCACCTGAAAAGACAAGAATGTTGATCTTTACCGGCTCCAACCTCCGATTGCTGAAAACCCGCTTCGATGAGCCTGTGACAGACACCCGGTTACTTAGCGGCTATTCGCGGCATCTGGGGAAGGCTGGCAGCTTATTTTCCACCAGAAAAGCACATTGTCATCTCTTTTAATAACAGGCTCCAAGACAGAAGTCAGCTATTTCAGCTACGGCTCGCTCCTCTGCTGTGGGGCGTGTGTCTCTCGCGGTCATCTTTTGTTTGCATTAATTACCCCGTCAGTGTTTACCGGCTCTCCTTTTAATTAAGTTTGCTTCGAACCCGAAATACTCCCAACTGCAGAAGTTGTGTTGTGTTTATAGGCAGGTCAGCTGATGAGCGAGCTGCCGTTTTTCTCTTGGCGCACGTGATGACATCATGTTCTCAAACGTTATGGAACATCTCTAAAGTTGGACAAAACATTTTAAACTAATTAAAACTGAAAACTCAACTATGCATCTTTTTTATACATTAAATTACTTTTATTAGTCTTTTTTGTCTATATTTTTTATCCTTGTCCCCTATGTGTAGTTTATTTATTTATTTATTTATTTATTTTCATGGCAGTATCATGACATTTACAGTAATATGGTAATTCCGCCTAAGCCTATTATGGATCTTCATGTGCTCTGCATCCTGAACCCACCTCCAGTCTTTCTGAAAAGAAAAAGATCTGGTAAATATAAATGAAATTGTACATCCTCTGGTACTTTGCTAAATTCAAGCTTTTAACTAATTACAGATACATAATTGACTAAAAATGTACAAATAATTGGTACAGAATAGAATAGAAAATTCCTTTGTTTATTTCTTTGAACCAGCATCACTAACAGATGTTTCCCACCGAAGATAATTTTGTACAAAGATGGATCTTTTAAAACAAGATTTCTCTTTTTCTCAGATGTATTGCTCCAGCTTCAGCTTCTTTTGGGAATGGCCAGAAGTCCGCAGCGCTTCAGTCGAAAGTCCGGAATTTTTTGCTGGAGTTAGGGTAAACCCCCTCCCCCTCCATAGAAAAATGAAAACAGACAATCCCAGTTATCTATTCCTTTAGCAGATAAAATAATAATGAGCTTGTTTCGTGATATTATTTTAAATAATTGTTTTTGCAGTTAAAACCAGAGCTGACTGGCATAACTGAGGATGGGAGATGGTACCAGATGCTTGTTGAGAGTTCGGTTCCGGTTCCGTGTCCAGATGGATCTTTCTCCTCTGCTGACGAATGCATTTTATCGCTAGAGCTCATCTCTAGTGGTCCAGGTAAGACCAAGAAAATAAACAACCAAACAAACTTCACATTTGGTCCGGTTTCATATTTAAGGGTGCCTACATTTGGGCATGACTCTAAAAAAATCTTAAAACTAGACTTGATTTTTAAGATGGTCTTGGTCATCTTGTGTGGTGTAAACATGAACAACAGCTTTTAAAATTTTGGTAAAAGTTCTAAGAATCCTTCTGCTGTTGTTGAAGCGACCCTTCCTCCTGCAGATGAGGGTCTGTTGGACGCAGACCTGTTTCTGTCCTCCTGTGTGGTGGATCTGTCCCAGGGCCCCTGCAGGGACGGGATTTGCAGCCAGGCTCTGGTGCACTTCAGTCCCGTCACAGATTTTGTCCGAGACAATGACAGAACCAGTCACATCTCAGTGAAACCCATCATCACACAGAACTTCCTGTGGAGTGGCTATTCACCAGAACCTGTTCAGGTACCTTTTTCAGGTTAATAAACAATATTTTACTCTTCTCTTTTTATTTTCTTGTCCTCTTTTTTTAATCTTTAGTTTTAAAACCATCTTTTATTTAATTTGTGTCCAGCCACTTGGTTATCATACTTCATTACAATTTTATTTAACTGGAAATGTGAAGAAATGAAACAAACCTCTTATTTCCAGATAAAAGTTAAAGATGCTCCCTCAGCTTACTGCTACTCCTTCACTGATTCCCACGTCATCACGTTTGATGGCAGGTACCTTGTATCCTTCTTTTTTACTATCATAACAATAAAAAAGTGATGTTTTTAACCCTGTTGGAGTTTTCGTGGCTTTTAGGAGTTTACGATCTAAATAAAGTTAAGATTTTGTGCTTTTTTTTTTGGTAGTAAAACAGATTTGAAAACACAAACATTTAAGGAACCTTTATCTGTGTCCACTCAGGCTCTACGAGAACAATCACATAGGAACTTTTGTTCTCTATAAGAGCAGCTTTTGGACATTTGAGGTCCACGTTCGTCAGTGGGAATGTGGCAGCTTGGTGCGCGCCACCTCCTGTGTGTGCGGCTTTGCAGCCAGGAACGGTGATGACATCATCTCCTTTGACATGTGCAACGGGGAGATGGGTGAGACTAAACCTCGGCTCTCGGTGAAAAACAGAGACTCAACTAACAGCGGCCTTCGGATCACCGAGTCCTACCAAGGTCGCAAAGTCACTGTGAGTGAAGGCGGTCGAGATCATTAATATGTTTCTGAAGTCGTCTTTGGAATGTCTTCTCTCTAGAGTGTAGAGTGTACTAAACCAACACTTTTTAGGTTACATTCCCCTTTGGAGCCTCCATTCGTGCTGATGTGTCCGACTGGGGAATGAGTCTATCCCTCAGGGCCCCCGGTTCAGACCGAAACCACACCGAGGGTCTGTGTGGGACCTTCGATGGGCAGCCAGACAATGACTTCCACACAGCAGGGGGCACTGAGCTGGAGGAGCATCAGGCTTTTTTCTCTGAATGGAGGTTGGTGCTAAGGTGGATTAGACGAGGTGGCTACCCAGTGGTTTGCGGCAGATGTTACCAACACTACAAACAACGTCATTGTCCTTGAATTTTAAACGTTTTCCGTGTTTTCGTGTTTGACAGACTCCCTCCCGGCAGCAGCCTGTTTGACTCTGTTCCATCCCATGAGAAAACACCTGAAACCCACAACTACTGCACCTGTCGGGTAAATCCTCCCGTCTCCTTTCCCAGAACCCCATCTCAGCAAACCTCCTCCGACTCCTCCTGCTCCAGTTTTGGAGTCATCAGTTTTCCCAGTTTCATTCCCACCCTGGATGTCACAGCTGAGTACATCAGCTCCATGGAGCCGCCCACAATAAACCAAAGACAGCAAATAGCTTCAGATCCCTCTAGCAAAAGTTCTCACGGTGGAAGTAGTCACATTCCAGGCTCTTCCAGGACTATGTCGTCCTCAACCCAGCACAGGCAGACCCCTGTACATCTAAGTCTTAGTTGGTCAGAGCAGAAGAGCTTCTCCTACTTTTTCCCAGAAGACCACAAAGAAGCAGTTCAGCCAGAAGTCTCGCCAACTTGGCCCACACCTTCAAGCCTTACCCAGGAACAGGCCTGGGGTCAGTGCCAGCAGACTGTGGCCAACTCCAGCATAGCTGTGGGCTGCAGGCTCCTTCTGCAGGAGTCCGTAATCAGCCGAGCGATGCAGATGTGTGTCAGCGACCTGCAGCTGAAGGATGAGCTGTTGTGGCTGAGTGGAACATTACCACTGCTGGAAAACGAGTGTGAGAGGAAGCTGGTGGAGGAGGGTGGGATGAAGCTGGAATACCAAGATGCTCTGCTCATCCTTAGGTGTCCAAATCTGTGCAGCGGGAATGGCCAATGCTCCGACTGGGGTTGTGTCTGCTTCCCGGGATTTGGGTCGTATGACTGCAGTGTGCTGATGGGTAAAACACCCAACACACACACACACACACACATACACACACACACACACACACACACACACACACACACACACACACACACACACACACACACACACACACACACACACACAGAGAGAGTTTAATGGAGGAAAATCTTATTTTCTTACACCCACACAGTATTAGGAGGTCCACACACGTCTAGGTGTCAGAACCGCACATTGGTTTTGTTATGATGACAGAATCATAAAGAGATTTTTTATTTGGGATCCAGACTGAATCCTCAACTCTAGCTGTTCTTTTTCTACTGATGCTGTGAAGACCAGATTCCAGAGATCACCAAACTGGAGAAAGACGGTTTGTGTGACATCCATGTGGAAGACTGCTCCACCATCCGAGTCTTTGGTCACAGCTTCATGGTCTCCAGAACGCTCAAGTGTGAGTTTGTTAAGGAAAAGGTAGCTTTTTCCCACTTCCTCTGTGTTTTTTCAATGAAACTAAACTTTTTAACAGCTGTTTAATTTGTTGGTGCTGTTGTCTTCAAAAGCTCTGCCAAGAAGCTGAAACTCATGGCAGAAACAGATAAAAAAAAATAATTTTTGGCAGGAAAGTGACTTAATTAACAGGTTATTGTTATTTACTCCTGATCCTGTTTAACCTTTGACCTTAAACCTCTAACGTTTTATTCATAACAAGTACTGATACAGAAATGTGCACAAATATTTTATTTTAAGGACTTGGAGCTTTGGCACAAGAAAAAAAATCATTTTTAATAAATAAGAAAACTTGTGCTCAAACTTATTGGGAATTTCACCAACCATTCTCAATTTATTAAGGTGTATCCGTATAAATGGCCCACCCTGTAGAGCTATTTTTGATTGTTTTAAATTACCATGTTTGACCCATTGGTGGTGCTAGGGGTGGGGCCATTGAGGCATTGGCCCCTCAAGTGCCCTTGTCCAGTCACTTATTTGTTCTTTGAGTGATGATCAAATAGCATCCTTTACAGTAGCTAAACATAGATTGTGCCATAATGTTGCAATGCATTCTGGGAGGTAGCCATAGACAAGCAAGTGTGCATTTTGCATGGGTGCCTATGGATCTGAGTCGCTCAGATGATCACAAAGTTGTATTTTCGTCTCCTGAAGATGTTGAAACAGGAAGGAACCAAGCACTGATGTTGGGGAGGTGGTAAATGGACTCTAGATACCCAGATTGGAAGTCAGAGGGGACACTTTTTAGCCCTTTTCCAAAATCGGGTAAGGTCAGCGACAATATGACACAGCTGGAAAGGGAACGAGCCGAGCTAAAGACAGACAATGCAAAGCAGTGGTAGTATTTATGTGGAAAAGCAGATTTTCACAGTGTGGAGCAGATCACGTATATTTGTTCCATATCATTTGCTGATTGGAAAGGTCCCATGTCTGGGAATGACGAGCCGATCCTAGCAACGCTGTCAGATGTGGAGTTATGTAGAGGCAGCGGTGTAAACGAAGGGTTTCAGCTGAACGTCCAAACGTGGATAAATATGATTTTTGACCAGAGGTGGGTGGTATGTAAAAGATAGTGACACAAATAATAACCTACGAGTAAATAAAAAAATAACTTTCACCAAATATTACCTGAGCACAGAGTCAGGAGTAATTGTTTAAGCACAAAAGTTTGAAATTTGTTTTTGTTGATGTGTTTTTATCGACATTCAAGCCCTTGGTGCGTGTCTCTATCAATAAATGTGTTTTGTTTGTTGTGCGTTTGTACCCAGCAGCATTTGTGTGGTGATGTCAACTCTAAAGTGTGCTAGTGATACAATTCCAGGTCCAAACACTAGCGGCGCTAATAAGTCAAACTTAGATGTTTTACTTCACCCATAAACAAACTTTAAACTGATGTTATTTGTGGTTTTTAAATTAATACGATCTTGGAGTTTGTCAAAGGCTTTGTGTGTTTGTATTTTGTCAATTTTGTCTATGAATTATAAAATTATTGTACAAAATTAGATGAAAATTCTTTAAGACTGGGTATTGTGTGGTAGGATGTATGGCCCCTATATAAATATTGTGGCCCCATGATGGACCCATGTTCAGACAAATCCTAGGTCCACCACTGGTTTGAGCCCTTTTAAACTCCTACTGTTTTAAACTTTACCTTCTTAGACTTTGTTCTTGTTTTATCTTTTAATCCGAACCTCCTGGATTTGAATCTTTTGTGGAGTTTGAGGATGGTGAGTGGCTTCTGGACGCGCCCCGGTTTGTCCCGACCACCTCGCTGAATGAGACAGCTCTGGAGTGCCAGCTCCCTCTGGAGGACAGCCGCGATCCTGCAGGCGTGGATCTGGCAGCAGGGACAAATGGACCGCTGGCTCGCTGGCAGATTAAAGTTAGTCTCAGATAGGATTTATTCTTTAGTGATTCATGTTTGCATCTGATTTTATTCCTCAAAAATATACAAAATTAACGTCTTTTATTAATTAAAACTTTAAAAATATATATGTTTATGTGCTCTAATATTTAAAAGCAGACAAAAATGACTCAGCTAACCTTATTTGGAAAAATTAATTTTTTTCCCACCTCAACTCAAGAGAGAATCAATCTCATAGGTGCAAATCCGATTAGACGGATTACACATCTGCCAAATCCACGAAACAAAATAAAGCCGGTGAGCACTTTTCACAACTCCATAACTTTTCATGCTGAAGAGGTTTGAATTGGTTTTTAATGCTTCTGCCCAGCGAGCCTCAGTAATCCAGCTTGTGCTGATGGCAGGTTTCCAACGACGGCTACAGCTTCAGTAATGCTAAGATCCTGACTCTGTACGATGGAGCCTGTCAGACCTGCAGCCTGGACTCGGATGTCACCTGCAGCCTGAAGGTGAGACAGGTTTAATCCCATAACTGTGACACCAGTAGCATCCATAAAGCACCTGAGGTGTAAACACTCTGTTTCTGTCTGTGTTGGGTGGTTTTTGATCATATGAGGATGTAGCAGAACTCTGCTTGATCCCTGGATATCAGACACGACTTTCAGAAATACTACAGGCCTTGAGGAGTCTAATCAGAATTTTGCTGTTTTATCATAGGATTTTATAGGTTTTATTGTGAACTTAATGCACATTTATGTTTTGGTGAGCTACACTGCATTTAAAATATCTGGAGTTGATCTTTAATTTCATGAATATTGGCCAAATGTTTCATATATCCCAAATAATCAAAAAAATAATCCAGTCACAATCATTGTTGTGGGTTTATAAGTTTAATTAGCCATTTAACCACATTTCTTGTCAATACATTTATTTTTAAAGACAACATTGTCATGCATCTTTTGTAAAGCAGAAGACTTACTGACAATAACACAAATTATAAAAGATGGAACCACAGATTTCCTTAAACTTAACTTTTTTATTATTATTGTTTATTGTTTTTATTTTTTCCAGGAGAAAACCTGCAGTATTGATGGTTTGTGTTACAGAGATGGAGAGTCCAGTCCCAGCAGTCCTTGCCTCACGTGTAATCCAGCTCTGTCACAACATACATGGTCCAAAACTCAGAGTATGTAAAGAAACCCATGTACACCCAACCAAACCAGGTTCAAAGTCATTTCTTTTATCTAAATGAGATCAAATCTTCTAATTAAGCTACATCATGGGGCAGAAAATAGATGCATCAAGTTTATTAGCACTTTCACAACCCTGGAAGGAAAGTGCTTCACATGAAAATAAAAACTAACAAGAAAAAAACAAAGAGCATAAAATCAAGATTGCGATAATGACTTTGACATAAAACCGAAGCTCAATGGTGAGAAGAACAAACAGCACAAGTTAAACACAATAAAATGTGTGTTGGTGCACCGATAAGAGAAGGCAAAAATGAAGGCTGCTAAAGAATCACTATTAATGAAAAGCCTGCTGGAAAAGGTAGGCTTTAGGCTTGCGTTTAAAATGGAACAAATCCTAAGCTAGACGCACAAATGGAAACCTGAAAAGGAGCGGTTGCCCCCGTACTTATATCTCGACCAAGGGAGAAGCTTGCTGGCATAGGGACAAGGAGTCAGAAAAGTAGGAAGGACCTAAACCATGAATAATTTTGAATGCTAACAGGATGAGTTTGAGTTGGATTCTGAAAGACATAGCGTGCCATCGCAATTCAGAAAGAATGGGGGTAATGTGGCTTGGCCCAGATGTGTTTGAGAGGAGGCAGGCTGCAGAGTTCTGAACTAACTGAAGTTGTGTGATGGAGGACTTAGACCAAGACACACGGACATACCAGGCATCACAGTAATCAAGACTTGGATGACTTTTTCCAAGTCTGAGTGATTTAGCCTCCTCAGTTGATAAAAGCCTCGACCACTGCATTGATCTGCCAATCGAAATTAAGTTTTTCGTCAAAGACGATGCCGAGGTTTCCGACTTATGGCTTGCATTTGGAGTCCAAAAGACCGAGATCGGGTGTTCGAACACTGGGATGGTTTGGAAGAGTAAAGACTAACACACTCTGTTTTGTCATCATTTAACAGCAAAAAGTTGTTTACTTGGTGAGAACTAATGAAACAACAAAAATGGTTTGTTTTTTTATTCATTTGTGGAAATAAAGTTTATGTAATGTAAGCTACTAATAAAATGTAAAATAATGATAATAGTGGAACGTAACATGATCTTTACTCAAACATGGCAAAATTAAAAAACTCAAATAAAACTTTCTAAGAAACATTGTTGTGAGAAAACACCAAACTAATACCAGACAATTGAGTTTTAACATTGTCCCAACTCATAGAAATGCTGCAGAAACCCACAAATGCTAACTGTTGTACAAACATTTAGAGATATTTTAGAAACTCCTGTTCCCAACGTACCACTAGTAGCTGCAGCATAGTAGTGAGATAGATGCTGGTTTTTGGGTTTGAGCTTAAAAGTTAAGTTCACAAATGATTCTTTGTCACGTTGTGCAACGAATCTGCTAATGCTAATTTCCCCATTTGTGACATCACAAACGGAGACTTTTTGAAACAACTTTTTAGGCACAACGTTTCTAAAACCAAACGCTGACAGAAAAAAGATGTTTTTTCATGTTCTGAGTGTTTATAGAGGCAGTAGAGACCAACGTGGCAGCACAAAAAGAGGCAAAAAGTGAGTTTTACATAATATGCCCCCTTTAAATTTGTGCTGAAAAGATCTGACTTTGGAAAAAGAAAGAAGGGGGAAAACTTGCATGAAGTTTTTTTTTAACCTCTCAGCACGTAAAAACCACAGCTTATCACTGAAACCTGATGGAGCAGCTCCAGCATGTCCCCATACCTAACGTCCATCACCTCAGGAGGCGGTTCTGGTGACGCGTCAGCAGCTCGCTGCAGATTGATGTTGGTTCTGTCTGCAGGCGCTGATATGAAAGAGGCTTAACTCATTGTTACGCTTTCTGACCAACTTTTCCTCCTGAGCTCAAACTGGGTCAAACTTTTCTCTGTTGAGTTGCAGCAGAATGACAACATGAGTGGAATAAAAATACAATAAAGAATTATTTTAAATGATTGTTTATTTTCTTTGAGACTCTTTGGTGTTTTGTGCTCGTGCACAGATTTATTTATCTTTCCTTTGGTATCAGAGAACAGACCCCCGGTGTTCCAGTCGCCACGGTTTCGTCTCCGTTCCTTCCACGAGGAGAATTTCATCCACCAGCTCCAGGCTGAGGACCCAGAGGGCTCTGTGGTTCTGTTCACCCTGGTATCAGGTCCAGAAGGCACATCGCTGTCTCCAGACGGCCTGCTGAGGTGGAAAGCCACAGCAAAGCCCACAGATACACACATGTTCCATTTTACTGTGGCTGACAGCTGCGGGGCTGAGAGCAGCGCTTCTGTTCAGGTGAGTTTATTCATCAGGCTGTTGAAAAATGTCTAAACCACTGGTGCTTATTAATGTGTCCAAAAATAACAAAACAATCACAAGTAAATAGGTTAGTATTGCTTTATATATTTTTGTTATTTAAACTGATTTAGATGCAGGTTTTTAGTGCTGAAGCTTGTGCTGCTGAATCCTGTCTGGTTTGTTCAGTTTATTTAAATGTTTCCCAGGACATCTGAGATTATAAACATTAAAACTACGCATTGTTCTTGAACAATTTGCACTTGTACAATATTTAGACATTGTTTTACATCTAATGAAAAAAAAAATCTGAGGAGTTTCTGTAGAAAAAATAACTTATATAGGTTTGTCATGTCCTGCCACTAGAGGGAGACAGTGATGCAGCTTTTCATGCCATTTAAAATAAAACTTTTCAGTAGATAAAATAATACTTTATAAAATCTTACAGATTACCTTTTATTTTCACAATTTGCTTTATTGGTGGAAATAAAAATAATAGGAATAATAAAATAAACACTAAACTCTTCTGGCTAAAGCAGCATGACACAAAAAAACATCTGAAATGAGTGGCAAAGCAGAAAATAAGTCCTTTCTGTTCTGTTACCTTGTCCTACTTTACAGCAGATGTTTAAACTTAAAGTGGCTGCATTCCACTCCTGCAGCTGTGCATGCTGGTTATGTAAAAATGCTTCTTCTAAATGGTACTCAGCCCTGTTCTTTCCTTCCAAATCAACTTGTTTTTGATAAAATAGGGCAAATGTTTGACTCTGCGTGTCAATCTTAGGGTTTAGGCTGGTTTCAACATGAAAATTCATGCATTATGGAGATAATGTGAAACATATATTGTAATTAAACTTTGAGATTTGTATTTAAAGTGTTTAAAAGAAACCCTTTTTTACAGCTTTGGTTTCAAAATTATTAGCTTTTTGTTAATAATTGATTTAATAAAGAATTGTCTAAAGTTCACACACTGTGTGATGTGTCATAATCACTTCCCGTGTCTTCATCCTGTATTATTAAAAATGAATACACAGCAAAAACACAAGGTTACAATCATAGTTTGGTGAAAATTTGACTTTTTATTTCCTTCCAGGTGTTCGTGCAGTCCTGTGAATGTCTGAATGGAGCTGCGTGCATCACAGATGTGAACTCCCATGCCAACAGTGGTGAACATAGATGTGCGTGTCTCGATGGGTTTATGGGACGGAGGTGTGAGGTGGAGGTAGACAGCTGCAAACCAAACCCCTGCAGACTGGGCCGCTGCATCAACAGAGCCAATGCGTTCACCTGCATCTGCCCACCTGGGATGACAGGTTTCCACAAGCTGAACCACTTTCTACTTTCTGTTCGTCCACACATCTAGTGGCCTGTGACGTAATGGGAAAATTCAGACTTTGGGCATAATATATAGATTTTTTTTTGTTACATTAGAATAATGTATTTGCATTTATAATGAGTTATTTGCAAATTAATCTTGTTATCTGTTTCGATGTCTTTGGGTTGTGTGCTAATTATTATAGAAATCTATGGCGCTAGGATTGGGGCAATATTACATGTAGCTTGTACCAAGTTTTGCAACTTGTAACATGTTTTATAATTTGTAACTTTCATTTTGTAGCATGTAATTCACATTTTGTAACACATAACGTTTGTTTTGTTGCACGTAATCCATGTTTTGTAACAGATAACTTTAATTTTGTAACACATAAATCTTGTTTTGTGGCATGCAACTTTTGGTACATACCATTAAACTTTCATTTTGTAACTTGCAGAAAAAAAATCTAAATTCCAAATCACAACTCTCATACCGAAAGTTATGTGTTACAAAACAAGAATTGTGTGTTACAAAATGAAAGCAGACTGTTAGAAATATGAGTTACATGCTACAAAATAAATGTTACGTGTTACAAAACATGAATTACATGTTCCAAGAGAAAAGTTACAGTTAGAAAACATGTTACAAATGACAAGATTTGGTGCCAGTTACATAAAATATTGTCCCAGTCCAAGCTCCAAAGAAATTATTACATATATTTATTAATAATTCTAATATTTTGTAAGGAAGCTTTTTTCTTTCTTTAATGAAATTTGTTTTGATATTTTTGTGATATATATATATATATATATATATATATATATATATATATATATTTTTTTTTTTTTAGGACGGACATGCAGACAGGATATAGACGAGTGCATCTCCCAGCCTTGCTTTCCTACTGTGAGCTGCAAAAACACTCCGGGCTCCTTTTTCTGTGGATCGTGTCCTCAAGGATTCAGGGGTGACGGCCAAACCTGCAACCGTAAGTCAGAAATGGTAAATGGTTTGTATTGGGTATAGCGCCTTCTAGAGTCCTGGAACCCCCAAGGCACTTTAGGACACAATCAGTCATTCACCCATTTACACACACATTCACACCCTGGTGGTGATGAGCTACATTGTAGCCACAGCTGTCCTGGGGCAATCTGACAGAAGCGAGTCTATTGTACACCGTTCCCTCCAAACACCACCAGCAGGCAAGGTGGGTTGAGTGTCTTGCCCAAGGTCACAACGACAGCAACAGACTGAATGGGGCTTGGGCTTGGGGCTGACCCAGGGCAGCTGTGGCTACATTGTAGCTCATCCCCACCAGCGTATGAATGTGTGTGTGAATGAGAGAATGACTGATTGTGTTGTGAAGCGCCTTGGGGGTTGTAGAACCACAAAAAGGCACTATAAAAATACAGGCCATTTTCAATGCAGCTATGATTGGGACAATATAACATGTGACTTGTACCAGGTTTAGTAGTTTGTAACATGTTTTGTTTCTGTAACTTTTATTTTGTAGCATGTAATTCATGTTTGTCACAAAACAAGAATTACGTGTTACAAAACAAAAGTTACGTGTCCCAAAATGTGAATTATATGTAATATTGCCCCAATCCTAGCTCCATAATTTACAGGCCATACTTTATTTCCAAGGTAATGCAGACTCTTCAGGCATTCCTGTGGCAACACCAGTGAGGGTACCACAGGTGTCACCATCACCATGTAGCTGGGCGCCATGCTACCCTGGGGTCCAGTGCTTTGAGAGTGTGCACGTTGCTGCTGGTTTTGTCTGTGGACCCTGTCCTGCTGGTCTCCATGGAAACGGGCAAACATGTACAGTTTCTGGTGAGAATCCACCCAGTTAGACTGCAAAGTCAGACTGGGACACACAAACACACACACACACACACACACACACACACACACACACACACACACACACACACACACACACAAAGTCAGAATGATGATTTAAGCTACATTTGTGTAATTTTCAGTCTCATCCTCTAACATTCAGTGTCTTTCAGGTCAGGAAGCTGGCGCTCCTGGAATGGAGGATCGTCTTCCCATCCCAAAGTCCAGTTCCTCTTCCTCATCTCCTCCTTCACACAGACGACCAGCTGACAGGAAGTGGAGACCAGATCCAACCAGCTCTGACTTCAGAAGGGCGTTCCTTAACAACAGGGCGACAACATCACCACTTCAAAGTCAAGCAGCAGGCCAAGAGTTTGCTCCTACTACTCATGCAGGTCAGCCCAGCTGGGTGGAGTTGACCCCTGACCTCTACACTAGAGTCAATTGGAGGTCACCATCCCATCATGTGACCTGTGGAGATTCTCCATGTTTTCCTGGTGTTTCCTGTGAAGCCTCCACCTCCGGGTCCTTCAGGTGTGGGCGCTGCCCATACGGGTACACTGGGGATGGAGTCACCTGTAAAGGTGAGTTTGAATTATAATACAAATCTGGGGAAAAGGAAGTTTTTGTTAAACCTTTATGACTATAAATTCTGCTATTTCGTTGACATTTTCCAGGAAGTGAAATAAAAACGTTTGTGTTTCAGCTGTGTGCCGGTACCAGTGTGGGGGGAACATGCAGTGTACTCTGCCCAACACCTGCACATGCAGACATGGTTACACAGGCTACAACTGTCACATAGGTGAGCGAGGGAGAGACTTCACACTGTTTATTTGTGCAGGAAAACAAGCTCATTAACTCATCATCACCTCTCGAGATTCGGTTCGTTTAACTCTGTGTCTGATTTTGTTGACTATGTGTCTCTCAGCCGTGTGCCGACCCGACTGTAAGAACCAGGGGAAGTGTGTGAAACCTGGCGTGTGTGAATGTTCTGCAGGCTACAGCGGGCCCACCTGTGAGGAAGGTAATTTGATCTGGTATTCACACCTGTCAAAACCTGCTGGCAAACAACACTCACAAAATTCTGATGAGAGGCTACTGATGTTGTTGTGCAGCAAGCTGTGAGCCGCCTTGTCGCCATGGAGGCACCTGTCTGTCCAGGAACCTTTGTACCTGTCCCTACGGCTTTGTGGGGCCCAGATGTGAAATCAGTAAGATCTTTAGTTGTTTAAACTGGTAAAACATATTAAAATGTGCAACATTCAGAGTTGATTTTGTTTCTCTCCCTCAAGCACAACTAACTTGGAAAATTATACATGAGGGCAATTTCAGGGAAAGTCATTTGGAAGTCAAAATTATTTTAAAGGGGACATATTATGCAAAAGTAAACTTTTGCATCTTTTTGTGCTGCCATGTGGGTCTCTACTGCCTCCACGTGTGAAAAACTCCATCCATCTGTTTTCTGTCAGTATTTGTTTTAGGAATTATGTGCGTAAAGCATGCCATTTCAAAAAGTCCCCATTTGTGATGTCACAAAAGGGGAAAATAAAATGGAACACCTGCAATTGAGAGCTGCAGCTGGAGGAGCAGCAGCTCTATTCCGAATCCCTGCCTGATATCTGAGCTTCTCAGCTTATAGTAGCCTGATAGGGGGAGGGGCGGGCGTGATCAACTTCAGCTTGTTTTCTTAAAGTGACAGAGCCCTGAAATGACTCATTTTGGAAGGTATTGAAACAGCCAAGAATTGAACTACTGAAACTGCTTCATGTAAGAGACATTTTGTGCAAAGAACTTGATAGACATTGATAGAATTATTATAACTTAAAGACATCATAATATATCTTCTTTAAGTTTTTTCTCACACCTATTATATTTGACTAGACTGAAGGCCTAGAACTGCTCATTGTCCTCCCAGTGTTGTGCATGACTCTCAGCTACCACATCTACACACACACATACACACAGGTAATGAAGGTAATTCTTGTTTGTAAGTTATATTTTGATTTTAGGACATTTCCAGTGCTTCACCAGTATAAAACACCAGTACAGACAAAAGAAGCACTGGTAATTATCCTCAAGGTGATGTCCAATCAGCATTCAGGGTCTTGTTCACATCTGTTCTGCATCACAACAGAAGCTGTTTCCATTTCTAAGTGCTGATGATGCTAATTTTCCCCATCAGTGGTGTGCAACAGACACTGTGAGAATGGAGGCGAGTGTGTTTCTCCTGACGTCTGCAGATGTAAACCCGGCTGGTTTGGACCGACGTGCAACTCAGGTGCAAAATATAAGCTTTAGTTTTTCATCACACTCCCAAAGTGCTGCTACACAGTGGTGTATCTTTTCCTTACTTTGGAAACCCATGATGTCACGTGAATGCTCTTCTGTGACCTGCAGCGCTCTGTGAGCCCATGTGTCTGAACGGAGGATCCTGTGTGAAACCGAACACCTGTGCTTGTCCCACTGGTTTCTACGGCTCCCAGTGCCAAATTGGTGAATTGATACAAAAAAGAGACATCAGTATTTATTCGTTTGGTTACGATTTTATCTCTTCTGCCATGATTGGGTTTGTTTTCCTGCAGGACCCACAGCTTTCTTGTGTTTAAACAGTTAAAGTGTTGTGTTTCAGCTGTTTGCAGTCCACCTTGTAAGAACAGAGGTCAGTGTATGAGGAACAACATATGCTCCTGCCCTGAAGGATACAAAGGAAAACGGTGTCAAAGAAGTGAGTACTACATCCCAGGCCTCTGGAGAGTTTTTTATTTCTTTATTATTGGCTGTTGAAGCTCAAACAAATGTATTCCAGGTGTGTGTGAGCCAACATGCATGAACGGAGGGAAATGTGTTGGACCAAACATGTGCTCCTGTGCATCTGGATGGAGGGGGAGGAGGTGTAGCATATGTAAGTGCTGCAGTCCTTCCTTTATAGTCAAACAAAAGGCATACATGTGCATTAAAGCAACACTAAATAAGTTTTCCACTTCCCCCTTCTACTGGTTAAAAGCTGAATTACAACTCCATGCTTTCGTTCTTTTTTAAACACAGAAACAGTTTTGTTTACCTGTTTGTAGCTACGGTTTCGCCGACAGCTGCCGGCAGGGGCGTAGCACCAAATTCTGGGCCCTAGGTACAAGTCTTCTAGGTGGGCCCCATGCTCAATTGTGTAATATCTCTCTTACACATTTTATGCCATGCTATAAGACAAGATAATAAATATGATCTTAGTTTAACCTCTATATTGAGCAAATACAAATGCCAGCATAATAAAAGTGAAATGCCCAGACTTCACATATAATTATTTTTATTTGCCAACAATGTGTTCAAACATTAATCCTGGAATTTATTTTCCAGTAAATGCCCACTGACGGGTCTTCATGTTAGCAAAATCCCTTATGAGATCTTTAAAGTCCAATCCTTTGGCTAATTGGCTTTCAATAGAAAGAAGAGCTAGGCTGTTCAGTCTATCCTGGGACATTGTTGATCTCAAATAATTTTTCACCAGTTTCAGTTTGCTAAAAGCCCGTTCACCCCCAGCAACAGTCACAGGTAGTGTGCAAAAAATCCTCAGTCCAATACAAACTTCTCCAAAAATGCTCTGTAATTGCATCCTGTAGATGGAATTAAGCAGCTCAAGAGGAGACATGGGATGCAGTACAGAGCCTTTGCACTTTCACTGTAAATAAGCCAGTCTCTTCTTATCTTCTCATGCCCATTGGCTGACTTAGCATATTGAAGATAATTTGGAAATGGCTTGCCCTCCATATCTTTGGGTGTTATTTTGTCGATTCCTGGTGTTTGATCACTTTTATTCGCCAGTCTTCTGACAACTGTATCTCTCTGTTGACCAGTGAGCTTCCCTGGCCATAGTCCTGGATCCTCTGGCAGACACTCATCTGTGTTGCTCAGCCTCTCACTTTCTTCTTCTTCTGGCCTCTCCTCATCATCCTCACTACCTTCAGAGCAACCATCCCCTTCCCTATCTTCACTTACATCATCCTCTTTCACATATTCTATCTTTCTCTGCTGCAAGGGGGACAGACACCACACAAGCAAAATGGATCATGAATTAGGTCAGCAAAATATAACCTAACATGTCCTTTCAGATAAATCTGTTGCTAATGATTGCTTGTAAATTGAATAACTTAATTGTATCGTGAGCTCAGGGGCGGATTTAGGACTGAAGAAGATCCGGGGCTTAACACACAAACACGCGCGCACACACACGTGACACGCACTAGTCAACATCATATATATTTGTCTTGTACCACATAATTTTTTAATCTAAAGCTACATATTAAGCATATTCAGGGCAGAATATTGTTCCTGTTAGTGTTTAGTGTGAGATGAAAGTAAATATTCACTTTCCAGCAACTTTACCTGAGAAGCTAACTTTAGGCAAACCAGCAACACAACAAATATTTTCAAATAAGACTCACAAACCTGAGTCAACACCAGTCTCATCAAAGCTGGGGTTCTGTCATTGTACTTTTTGTCTAAAAAAAGTCCTTATGTCCATCTTCACTCGTGCATTTCAGGCAGAGACTGCAGAAGAAGCTGGCTGCTGAAGGGCTTCTTCTTCAGTGGTGGAGGCTCAGGCAGGCTGTATACAAACTACTGCCAGCTGCTCCCTCTCTGTTGGACTTTGTTACTGCATGTTACTTCCACGTTTCAGATCCGGGGCTTTTCATAAAACATCCGGGGCTTCAGCCCAAGTAGCTGGGCCTAACGCCGCCCCTGAGTGAGCTCACCTTGTCTCATCTCCTCAGTGCTTTCTGGAGACAATGAGGGCCCTGCTGCTGCTGCTACTGCGTCTAAAGGGCCATGTGGTTCATGATGTTAAGCTTTGCTAATACTGATATATATTGATATATTAAATACATATGACATGAAATAAACCAGGTTCTCTCTGTGAATGTAATGTACTCTAAATTTTATAATCCCTGCATTATCAGCCAAATTATAAGGTTGTCCGTTTTCAAGATCAAATATAAAGAAATTTAAAATAGGCTTAAAATATCTAACCAAGTCAATAACAATCCTCTAACACCAGTGTCATCATGCTATACGAAAAACAGTGGCAGCTTCCCATTCCTGAGATTACCACGAATCCATCGATACCAAGTTTGTCCTGGTCCATGACTGGGAAGGAGCTGAAATATCCACACAGAGTGAACCTGTTTTTACTGTGAGGTCCGCAAATTAATTGGCGGCAGCCGCCCGCGATAATAATTCTGATTAATATATATATAAATTAATTAGTGTTATCACTGATAACACTAATTAATTTATATTTGATCTTGATGGTGAAACTAAAGGCGTTTAACACTTTCTTTCTTCTTTCGGTCTTTATTTTGGTTTATAGCATTAACATAAAATTTTTCTTTTCAAACAAAACAATATTAACAATTTGAATTTAAACCAAAGAAGGACTAGGCAGAAGCAATGCTTATTTTAGCCTACCCTATTTTCCACCTAATATACATAACCAATATACATTTCTTTTATTTTCCCCAATATAAATATCCACAATGAAAATTCATTAATGTCTATACATACTTTTCGTACCCTGTAAATATGTGACACTTTACACCTGCTTTAAACTTTAGTAAAGAAGTACATTTCTTCAAATCATCATCTAACTCATTCCACAATTTCACACCAACAACAGAAACACATCTTGATTTCACATTAGTTCTGGCTTTTACACATTCAAACATAAATACACCTCTGAGATTATAATGATCATCTCTTGGTTTGAAATAAACTTTTATGCAATTTGGGATATTATTATTAACTACTTTATGAAGAATCTCTAAGATTTTTACTTTAATAATGTCTCCTAATTTTAGCGTTTTCGTTTGACTAAATAGATAATGGGTTGGTTCGAGGTATCCCAATTTATTAACTATTTTAATCGCCTTTTTTTGTAATTTAAATACAGTCTCAACACACGTTTTACCTGCATTTCCCCAAACCTCTGCACAGTAAGACAAATAAGGCATAACTAAAGAGCTATAAATCAAAAACAAGGCTTTTTTATTTAGTATATCAATAGTTTTATAAAGTATAGCAATAGATTTAGACACTTGCTGTTTGATATATTCAATGTGTGGTTTCCAACTGAGTTTACTATCAATAGTCACACCTAGGAATTTAGTTTCATGTACTTGTTCAATTGGGACTCCATTTAAATACAGCTTAGCACCGTCATTGTCCCTTTTCCCTGAAAATATCATAAATTTGGTTTTATTTTCATTTAGTGATAGCTTGTTGTAATCAAACCATTTTTTAACCCTTTGATACATAATGGTCACTACAGTGGACAGGTACTCAAAATTGTTATTTCTTTATTTTTGCTATTAAGCACAGCTGTTGAAGACTTTATTGCATTTGAGCCCCTCCATTTGGACTTCAGTAAGTCAAGCCAACATATTCCATGTTCAGAATGCACGCTGTCCACTGAGATGGACATGTAATAAATTATTTGTAAATTAACAAAATGTTACAAAAAATATTTGTTGAAATTTGTTTCATTCACACCTAAAGATGAATGAAAAAAATTGTTTAAAAAATCTTGGTTGAAGATTTCATAATCCATGCATCAGAGGGTTAATTGAATCCAATTCGTTTTCAACCTCTTGTAATAATTTACTCATATCTTTTCCCATACAAATGAAATTTGTATCATCTGCAAACATAATAAATTTTAACCGAGACGATACAGAAAAGATGTCGTTCAGGTATAGGTTGAATAATTTCGGTCCTAGCACCGAGCCTTGCGGTACACCACATATTACTCTTTCAAGCTGTGAATCTATATCATTAACATTTACATATTGAAATCTACTGCTTAAATAACTTTCAAGCCATTGATTGGTTTTACCACGAAGACCATAGTATTCACATTTCTTGAGCAGGTATATGTGATCAATTGTATCAAATGCCTTACTCAAGTCAATCAAGACAGCCACTACATGAAGTTTTTGATCCACTGCTGTTGCAATCTGCTCTACCAAATCCATAACTGCTAATGAGGTTGAACGATTCTTCCTAAACCCATACTGATGGTCATTTAAAAGATCAAACTTGTTGGTAAATGCTTCAAATCTAATTACAAAAAGTTTCTCAAGTATATTTGAAAACTGTGGCAGTAAAGAGATAGGTCTATAGTTACAAGCTAATAATTTATCACCACTTTAATAAATAGGAATAACTCTGGCTATTTTCATTTTTTCAGGGACTGTGCCACTTGAAAATGATTTATTACAAATATAAGTAAAAGGTTCAATAATGCAATGGATAACCTCCTTCATGAGAGACATATCTATCCCATGAAAATCTAAGGACTTTTTACTTTTGAAACTATGTACCGCTTGGATCACATCACTTTGGCTTACACTGCTCAAAAACATTGTATTATTATTTTTATTTATTTCATGGTTAATGTCAACTTCTGGCAGCTTTTTAGCTAGATTAGGGCCAACATTCACAAAATATTTATTAAACTCATTTGCAATGTTCTTTCAATTTTTATTGTGAATATCTATACCTGCTTCTTTTGTATTTCTTATTAATTTATTTAACACATTCCATGTACCTTTAATATTATTTTTGTGTTTTAGGAAAAGCTGATCATAATATTCCTTTTTTTGCTTCCTTATTATTGTAGTTAATTTGTTTTTATATTCCTTATACCTTTTTTCTTTTTCCTTTGTTGGATTTTTTATAAAATCCAGATACAGTGATTTCTTTTTCTGGCAAGCCCTTTCCAATCCCCTAACAATCCAGGGTGGGGACCTTTTTTTTAAGTTTTGCTTATGATATTTTAGAGGACAATGTCTATCATAAGCTCCCAAAATGAACACTGAACACCTAACATGAATGCAGCTTCTGAGAGCTAGCTAATATCAGCTAAAACTGTGTTCTGCTGCTCACCTTCCTTCTTGAAGAATCTAGTCAATACTTGCTTCTGTTCGATTAACTTTTTCTCCTTCTCCTTCTTTTCTTTTCTGGAAGCCAGATTTCCCTTTCTTGGGAAAAGACATGACTGACTCTCCTGCCTCCAGCTCTGGCTGTCGGCATCTGCGATGTCTCACTAGCACATGCGGCAGTGCAGCCCCTGGCCGCTGGTGTGGACTAAACCACTTTGCACATTTTTAAGGGGTGATAGATGCCTCAGAGATTATTCAGTTATTATTTTTAAGGCGAAATTCTGTTTCTTAACCTCTTTATCCAGGTAAAGGGAAGTTTATTAAGACATTAAGTAAGTTGGGGGAAAAAAACAACAACAATAAAACATTTTTATTCAAAGCTGTCTCAGGGCCCCTCCCTGCAGTGGGCCCTGGGTAAACGGTACCCTTTCCCCCCCCAGTCCGACGCCCCTGGCTGCCGGCTTCTTCAGGCTGATGCTGATGGTGGCGCGTCACTTCCTTTTCCGTTTATCTGCGGGCAGCAGAGGACGTTGTCGCCCTCTACTGCCCGCTCTCCCCTCTCCGAGTGGTCCAGCGTGTAAACTCCGTCGTCCCTGTTCATGGTCCCACATCCACGTCTCCTTATCTCTATTGCTTCCTTGATCCATCTTTTGTATTTTTGTTGTTCAGTGGTTATGATCCGTGTGCTGTCCCAGTCCATTATATGGTTTTCTCTTAAGCAATGATCTGTTACGGCTGACTTTTTTATTGTACTTTCTGCTTCTTCTTTTGCTGCTCTTGTGTGTTTACGATTTGCCTCTTTCTCGCACTCCTTTCTGTGTTCTATTGTCCGTGTATTGAGTTGGCGTCCGGTTTCTCCTATGTATGTTTTATTGCATATTTTGCATGGGATTTCGTAGATGACTCCACATTTTTGTCCAGCTGATATTTTGTCTTTTGGGTGTACTAATCTGTTTCTAACTGTTGTGTATGGCTTTGTTGGTGTGTTTATGTTGTGTTTTTTCATTGTTGCTCTTATTTTTTCCGTTATGCCTCTGATGTATGGTAGGGTTATCACTGGTTTTGGTTCTTGTCTTTCTGGGTTTCTGGTTCTTTTTTTGGGTTGTTCTTTGCTTTCTGTTTTTGTTTGTTGTTTTCCAAACAAAGGAAAAAACACAACATAAACACACCAACAAAGCCATACACAACAGTTAGAAACAGATTAGTACACCCAAAAGACAAAATATCAGCTGGACAAAAATGTGGAGTCATCTACGAAATCCCATGCAAAATATGCAATAAAACATACATAGGAGAAACTGGACGCCAACTCAATACACGGACAATAGAACACAGAAAGGAGTGCGAGAAAGAGGCAAATCGTAAACACACAAGAGCAGCAAAAGAAGAAGCAGAAAGTACAATAAAAAAGTCAGCCGTAACAGATCATTGCTTAAGAGAAAACCATATAATGGACTGGGACAGCACACGGATCATAACCACTGAACAACAAAAATACAAAAGATGGATCAAGGAAGCAATAGAGATAAGGAGACGTGGATGTGGGACCATGAACAGGGACGACGGAGTTTACACGCTGGACCACGCATGGGACTGCATCGTCGGAGAGGGGAGAGCGGGCAGTAGAGGGCGACAACGTCCTCTGCTGCCCGCAGATAAACGGAGAAGGAAGTGACGCGCCACCATCAACGTCAGCCTGAAGAAGCCGGCAGCTGTCGGCGAAACCGTAGCTACAAACAGGTAAACAAAACTGTTTCTGTGTTTAAAAAAGAACGAAAGCATGGATTTACAAAGACACAGCAAGAACACACCTAAGATGAATTACAACTGTCGTAAAGAATCTTGCTGTAGCTTGTACTAACAACGAGCTAACGCTAATGAGCCAACTGATATCAAATAAGCCACAAAGTCAAAAGATCTACACTGTTGGAGAAAAAATAATATTACTTACAATTCCAGTAGCAACAAAGTCAGTTCATCAGCAGTCCATGATTTCATATTCTCCTTCAGCTTCGTCAAAGGAGTGTAGAACATGCTAATGTTCAATCTGGTTTTAGCTCTTTGCTTTGCCTCTAAAGACGTTACTCTCTTACTTTTTACCCTCATCAATATTCTTCATCTTGTGCTTTTTAATGACGGTTGGTGGACTTAAAAAGCTAGCTGCTAGCCTTTATACATTTCTATAGTGGCACGTAAACAGCTATGGCCGTTAAGCAGGAACTAGTGTTCCTACCTCGCCTGAAGACTGTTCTGCGATTTTTAGTCTCTGAACTTAGACCATTAGTTGTAGCATTTGTGCATTCTTTTTTTGGATAGTATTTGTGCAATTGTTGGACAAAATGACTTGTTGTGGTATTAATTGCACTAATAGAGCATCCAAGGAGTCTCCACTTCATTTTTTCGGTAAGTAAAATTGTTTTTATGTATTTTAGGTCACTGCTGCTTTTGCACTAGCTGAGCTTTTCAAAGTAGCTAGCTAACTACCATTTTAACATGTACTGTTTAACCATGAAATTTAGATGTAATACGGTAAAGTTATTAACAGGGTACATGTCGATGGGTGTAAAACCCAGTGCATTTAACATAAAAATGGGTTGAAATATGAGATGTTGGTGGAGCTCTCGGAGGGAGACTTCTGTGTTCCATTCTTCTACCCGGTTCTCCCCAGCAGTCAGCCCGGCGCATCTCTGACCGCTTCTGCGCCTGTCTGCTGCGCAGGCTGACCGCTTGTGGAGCTCTCGGACTCGGAGAGAGACCTGACCACGGAAATACTGCAGCTCGGTGACTTGGTTGATAGTGCTTGATGTTAGTCTCCAGAAGTCTGTATGCATCAGATAAACTCGCTCGTTTTTTATATTTTTTGCATATTTGTAATAGTGGTGGTGGGGAGCGACTAAATAACTCATTTGTCCTCAAAGAGCCGCGACCGGGTACCTTGTTCTTGTGGGAACTAGTGCAGTTTAATACAATGGAAAATAGTTAATAAAAATGATAATTAAAAGGTTCATATCCTATCCAATAAGGCGATAGACTTAAGTGTTTGGTTTTATTTTTTATAAAGTATGCATTTTGTATTACCCTTTATCCTAATTTTGGACCTTTTACTACAGGCCATGATAAGCTATTAAGTATTTTAAACCCATAAGCTTAACTGAAGTAGTTCTTTGTATGAAGTTTTCCTCTAGGTGATCCAGAGGCTTGACCTTTGGGTAAGCAACCAAAGAAGAGAGTGCTGGACTCCCAATTCACACTCCCACTTGTGCAGTGAACACTTTGAGAGTCATCGCTTCACCACGGACTCCAGAGTACAAACACATTACTTCATATTTTGGTTAAGATTGAAAAAATTGAAGCATTAGCTGTGTAATATAGAGATGTTACATCGCTGTGTAACTAGAAAAAAATGTCCCCCTCCCTTGAACTGTCTGTGACTAGGGCTGTCTAGATGGGGAAACAATCACGTTATTAATTTACATCTAATTCTATGGATATTTATTCTGATAAACTAATTTATTTTTTTGTCAGTCTTTAATGTGTAACTTTAGGTATTGGGATGAATAAAAAAATATTCATTTTAAACTAAAACTCCGTGTGTGCTTCAGGTCTCTGGTGTTCCACAGAGTTAGCTCCGGTTGTAGCTAGGTAGCTACCTCCATTAGCTTAGCTCCCACCTCCACGTTAGCTTTGGGTTAGGTTGTAGCTAGTTCGACCGGGTGTCGTCATTTGATTCCAGCCTTACAACCCCACCCTCAGCTCCACCTCTCTTCTATTATGTGGAATTGTCTGGGCTTGATGGAATATGTGACAAGGTCAAAATGGCGGTGGTGGCCACCTCCCATTTTTCCTCAAAAACATGTTATTGGAACCTATGGAAACCCATTGTCCATATATATATATATATATATATATATATATATATATATATATATATATATATATATATATATGTGTGTGTGTGTGTGTGTGTGTGTGTGTGTGTGTGTGTGTGTGTGTGTGTCGATGGTTCCTACCTGTACCACAAAACTGTTAAGTGCAGTTTATGTTCAGTAGAAGGCTACAGAGTCCTGTCCAAGTTTATGGCTGAAGAACCACTGAAACCAGTTTGAAAGCAACAGCATAAACTGTTAAAAACTCTAGTGTTGCTTTAAGATCATTTAAGCAGGGTTTAAGTTAAGATAAATTAGGTTTTTTATTGTATCCCCACAGAAATTTATTTCTTACATATTAACATAAAATTACATTATTTTAAATCTAGAAAAACATAAAAAAACACCAGTTTATCAGTTGATAAGAACTTTCTCTTTGAACTGATAATACTCAATCATTATTTTCCACTTAATGGTTTGCTACAATTTATTTGTCATTAAAATGTTGAAAATGTTTTAATATTTACACGAACAAGAATTAAGTGAATGTTTAATTTCATAAGAAGTAATACAAATGCAAAAATCCTATTATTGTAGTATTTTTGTACAATAATGTTCTTTTTTGTTTTAATTCAGAAAATCTTTTTGAATTTTATAGCTTAAAAAGTTTTACATTTAGGTTCAAATTTGTATAAAAATATTGAGTAACATGTTATCTAAATAATAAATGTCTAGTTTTAAACCTAAATATATTGATTTAAAGTTTGTCATCATTCATCCCTTATTGTTGTCGCTGCAGCCGTCTGTTTGCAGAAGTGCAGGAATGGTGGTGAGTGTGTTGGACCGAACACGTGCCTCTGCCTCGTCGGCTGGGAGGGTCTTCAGTGTCAAACACGTGAGTCAAAAAACTGTGACTTAAAGGTGTAGCAAAGGATCTTTTTCTTCCGGGTGGATCATCTGAACCGTTGGTCCCCTTAACTCTCGATCATTCTGGTGAACCATTCATGCAAGGCCGTCGTCTGCTGGGTAGTTTCCACTTCCTGCACATGTGCAAAGCGAAGGCTGGGCTCCCCACAGACGCCGGTTTTCTGCTCATCAGATAAGCTAAAGTTCGGCGCTCTTTCTCAGGCGCATTTTTTTCCTAAAACGAGGAGCGGGCGGTTCTTTCCTGAAATTCAGAAACATCCTCCACTTTACGCCTGACAAAAAAAATACATATTTATGCTTTTATCCTTTCATCCCACTTCCTCATCAGCGACCTGTAAGCAGCGGTGTCTGAACGGAGGGCGGTGTGTTCTGCCAGACCAATGCTTCTGCCGGAGAGGCTACAAAGGTCTTACCTGTGCAATAAAGGTGAGAGGTCAGGTGGGTCGTGGATCCTTGTGAAAATAACAATCATTTCAGGTTTTTACAGCTATGATTGTGATTATCATATGAGAAAAAAATGTTTTAACCAAATCTGACACATAATGGAATGGAAAGTCATTTTTGGTGTTGGTAGTAGACCCTAAGGCTGCAGAAATAAATCCAAAAGTTGAACTTAGATTACTAAACAAAACTAACCAGGAACAGGGCAGTCACGACACCTGAAAGGTTAATTAATAAATGTAGACCAGGTGAGATAATGAGCAGGTGTGAATGATGGAGTTGAATCAGGGATCAGGGGAAAAGGCACGTGGGGTAAAGCAAAATACAGACGAAGAACAGGAAACCAGGCTCAAAACGCTGATGGACAAAAACAAACTGATTTCAAATGTTTTACTAAATGAATTCAAACTGCATTTTTTTTTTACTTTCCAGGCTTCATTAGCATGAGAGAACAACATAAAGGACAAGAAAAAAAGACACGAAGAAAGAGAAGGCAAAACAAAACAATGGACATCAGCGTATTTGAGCATCTTTGTGCACATCTGAATTCTTTTGAACACGTCTTCGTGTATCTCTCTCTACCTCATGGCTCAAACTGACCAAATCTGCATTATTTCACACAGAACTAAATTACCCCGCATCGGTTTTCTCTAAATCATCATTGTTGATCACTTGTTGCACCTTGCTTATGGGTTTACATTTGAAATGATCATTTTTTTCTGGATTTTTATCCTTTTCTTTCAGTGGCATGATGCAACATAACCAGCTGAACTTATGTCATGAGTTTCTGCCTCATTTTTCTCCTACCTGATAAATCATGACCTGCTTTTGTTTTTCTCATTTAAATGGTAAATAAACATCAGTAATGATCCACCCCCACTTTGAAATTCATCAATGTTTTATTTTCTAAACAATTAGCAAAAAAAAAAACAGGAGTTTTTATTATTTAAAAACAAATTATAAGTTTAATGTCTCATTTTTTCATAAAAATCAAATAATCAAAAGTTTATTGCAAAAAAAAAGTGTTATTTCAATCGAAAAGAATCAAATTTAAGCCACTAAATCCGATTAGTGGGATTGTTTCTTTTCCTCGCAGCGAGGACCGGAGAAAGGCGGCCGGCAGCGACATTTGTCTGGAGAGATGCACTTCCCTCCGTTCAGGCAGGGCTGGCGGCACACGGCTGCAGCAGAGACAAAAGAAACAAAAGCAAAAGTGTTAAAGCTTTCCGGTAAAAACCCACATGGAGAGGATGTGAAAAATGAAAATTCTGACACCAAAAACCTTACTGCAGGTGAGAACCAACGTCACACCTGGAGCTGGAAGCTAAGCATTGTCTAGCTAAACGAACCGGATTAAAACCAGCAGAGGATAAAGAGGATGCACGGTGTAAATCAGCCGAACTCACCAGTGTGGCACGCTCCCCCGAGCCATCCATCAAGGCAGCTGCAGATTCCTGGAGCCACGCAGATCCCCCCGTTCCTGCAGCCTTGGGGGCAAATTGCTGCTCGGAGGAAACAAATATAGCAACATAGGCTTAGAGTTCTTATTTTGAGGCCCCCATAATAAACCATTGTAAAACATTTTCCAGTTTTGTCAAAAACCTGCAAAATAAGAACTAAAATGGACATCTTTATTTTTGTTGCATACTAGAATGCTTCAGAAAGCCACATGGACCTGTTCTAGTGAATGCTGCTGTTTACTGGTGTCAGAACCACAAACCCACCATGTTGACATTTAGACCCGGTCCAGCTGGAAGGGCAGATGCACTTGGCCACTCCGTTGACAGCGGTGCATTCTCCTCCATTCCAACATCCTCCATCACACGTCACTGCAAAAGACACATGACACCTTCTTGTGGTTTAAATGTTCATGGTTATATTTAATCTAATTCTCATTTTCTGAAAATAAACACACATTTTCATTTAGTTTTTTTCTTTTGTTTGGCTTGGATTTTCTAGTATAACTTCATATTTTCAGTTATTTTTAATGTCTGGTAGAATCACAAGTCAACCCGCTCACCTTTGTGACAGAATCTTCCACCAAATCCTGGAGGACATCGGCATTTTCCTGGACGAAGACACTCGCCACCATTTTTACATTTGGGAAAGCAGTTGGCTGTAAGATGTAGTAAGATGTGTAAATGTGGTTTTTCCAGTTCTAGAGTGGACTTTGCCCCCCTTTGTTTCCCCTTGGTGGCGCCCCTGCGTTCAGTGTTTTTTTATGACGCCAACAAGAAATAAATAAAATAGATAACTTTTGTGTTTTTTACAAACACCAAATAAATCAACACATTTTTCCAAACTCATAAAATGAAGCTTCCAACGTCACCATACTGACAGGTCTCCCCTTCATATCCCTTGGAGCAGAAGCAAGTGTTGTTCCTGATGCAGACTCCTGCATGTCTGCACGGCGGCTCGCACGTCGCTTTCAGGTCGAAGACGAACCCGACCGCAACACCCCGCGGCGCGTCCGAACCTCCAGAACAAAGAGCGACCAGAGAGAGCAGGACGATGGAAGCCAAAACAGCTGATCCGAGACCCGAAAGCCCCATGGCGGGTTTAAGGCTGAGCAGGACACGGAGTGGAGGATGGAGGGAGCAAAGGGGATCCAGAGGAGAATCAGAACAAGCTGGGCGGGGTGGTGAGGTTCCTGATGGGTGGGCTGATGGGCTCTGGTGCTCTTATATTATTAGTTTATTGTTTAATGTTCGATTATAAACCACATTTAACTTTATTCCAAATCAAATATCTGAAAAGAAATTATATGGACTGAAACGTGTCATTTAAACATCTGTAAAGGTTCACAAAACGCATTTCTGACAAAAAGTTACAAATATGACTAACTTATCATTACTGAACAGCATGTGTTTGAATAAATAGCTTTTACAGGACTGGTGAGCTAATAGCTAAATGCAGCCAAGACCAAAGCTACGGTGCAGAGACCAAAACGTCATAGCTCATCCTGTAAACTTTACCTCATAGTCTTTAAACCACATTGCATTTTGCATTACATGCATATTTATTTGTTTATTATATGAAGAAATGTCAGCTCAGCGCCACTACTGGATGCACCAGAACTGCTCCATTTTCAACTGCTGAGTAATTTATTTTTGTAATAAAACAAAGTGCATGACCTTCCGTGAAACTGACTTTATTGGAGCTGTTGTAAGATGACTGTAAGATATTTTGATATTGGCTCTTTTGGACTAGCCGTTAGCTTATCAATACTGTTGAATATCAACACAGGCTTTTCAGGAAGCAGAATAACCAACAAGATAGGAATTACTCAAAATGTGCTTCAAAAACATTCTGTAATAGATGTGATCATCCTGTTTGGCTAACTGTTGTGCTGAAGGAAAACAAACAACATAAAGCTTTTCATTGAATATGATGTTTATAAAATATGAAGATTTTCTATTTTGGTGGGCTCAATCTAAAAAATAAACATCTGAACTGTTGCCAAACATCTGTATGCTTTCCAGCAACACGCAGTAGTACTGAACGTCCACGGAGAACAAACATGGAAAAGTCATTTCCTTTCAGCAGACTGAGAGGATTTCTGGGTATGGAAGGAGCTCTAATGACAATAACACATCTGAGAGGAAGTGATGTCTGCTCCACATGGCTGAGAGGGACTTCATTGTGAGAAACTATAAGCTTTGTTGTTTTTCTTCGAGTTGGAAGTTTGCATTTGTCAAATAATCTTCAGGTTTCTCCTCCATAAATATCATTTAGACTCATTCCTAAATATTTTACCAAGCATTTCTGAGTAATATATGAGCTTCTCAGAGGAGCTTGAACACTTTTTTCTGTCCAGTCCAGTTCTGGTTCTGTTCACCGACCTGGATCCGAGAGGAAGCGGCTTAAATGACTCAAACAGATGTGAACATACTTATGCACACTGGAGAATTTACTTTAAGCGTTAGGGAGAGCCTCAAACATGCCAGAGGTGCAGAAACCAGGGAACAGTTTTTGGTTACCCTGCATCGTTTATATGTGAACGTTATTAAATGTGTTATAATCCAGCTACACATCTTCTAATGTTCAACCAGAACAGTTTAGCTTTTAGTAATATGCTTTAGTCTCAGACAAGTTCTCTTAAGAGGTGTTTGCACCGGACGGTGCATCCTTGTTTTTTTTTTTAGCAAATCTTCAGGCCTAAATTATCACCAGAAAACTAGATTTTCATGTGTTTGACATTCTTACAAATTTCATTTTTCTTAAATCAAAGTAATATTTCTTATAAATGAAATCTCACTGAGCATACTATTTCATTTCAATCTGTGAAAGTTTAGCTTGATATACAAACATATCAACATATGGACATTGATCCATAAAGTAATGAAAGTAGCTATCGGGATGTCCTGAATTATTGTCAAACGTGGGATTCCTTTGTGTCCATCTTGGTTTTAAAATAACTAGATGCCTTTGGCACCCTCTGGTGTGTAAAACAAGAATTACAAACACAATATACAAAAAAATACAATGAAATAAGTTTTTATTCTCAACTTCATACATGAAAATCACAGAATCAAAATGTCGATGCTGAAAGTTAGAAGATCTATATTATAAATGTAGTAACAACATTTGGATTTAAAGTGTAAAAATGACAGAAACAGTGTTTATTAATGATGCAGCAGCTGTATTAATCATTTCTGATTTGTTGTGTTAGAAACCATTGCATGACAAAACTGAGAGATTTTAACAATAAAACAATGTCAGAACATTAGAAAACAAAACCCCAGATTCATTAAACTAACATTAAACAAAGAGTCAGCTCATGCTTTAGTTTTTAAGTTAGTGGATTTAAACTAGCTTGACGACAGACACCACAGCCCACAGAACCACCATTCAAAGTGAATTAAGTTTCTTTAAACACTAAACAATATTCAAATCACACTTTTTAATGCAACGGTTTATTTTCCCCACTCAATTCTACATTTCTGCATTTTTGCAAATGTTCTGCTTGTTTTGACAAAAAAACTTTTTTTTTAGTTGAAACAATTGTTTCAATTACTTAGTAAGAAATTTTTCATTTAAATCACAGCTGCTTTTAATTAGTATGAAATTTGAGGAACATAATGGAAGTTATGTTGCACTAAACTACATCATGGATGCTGCAAAGGCTGGTCATATGAGAACATAAAGGGATCAGTGGTTTTATTACATAAATGAGTTTGTAACGGCTGGCGTGCTTTAAAGTGGTCAACGAGGAGAGTTGAGAGCATTCTGCCACGTTATGTCGGATAGGAATCAGTCTAAAGTGCATCAGATCTGTTACGTTCTGTTGTTAGTGAGGAGAAACAACCTCCACCTAAATAAATATCTGTTCATTCTGTCTGCAGCTTGGTTGGAAAGACTCCAAACCTCACAGCCGTACTCATTAAACTCGCTCTAGATCGCTTTAAAAGCCTAGAAAACAACCACAAGATACACAATTTCCTCCCAAACATCACAATTAACCCATGAATGGAATAATGGCGTTGGGACTTTAGGAATGGGTGATGATTTAGGAGATGTGTTGCTTCCGTTTCCGCGGCGACTCCGTGCTTATTCGATCCAGGTCTCTTACTGGTAGACTTGGACGTGGCCATGAAAGAAGGTGGTGTTGCCCCCACAGTCCACGTACTGGTACATTTCCTGAGAGACCTGCTCCGTGTGACCAAAGTATGCCGTTGTCACGGTAACCCTGAAACGCAAACAAAAGGAAGAAACCGTGAAATCAGGAGGTGAGTGGAGAGGTTTTTTTTTGAGTCCTGCAGAAGGTTTTCTTAACGATGATGGGAAAATCTCATTTAGAAATTTAAATCATTCTAAACTTTTCTGGGATTATTTAGTTTAGTCGTTTCTTTATGATGGGTGAAAAATAACATTTTTCTACAGATTAGACTTAATGAACATTTATGCTGATGCTTCTGAAACTGTGGTCGTCTGACACGTGAGCGCCCTCTGGTGGTCTGGAAATGAAATATAAAGTGCTCTTATTTTTTAAACTAATCTAATGCCTTGTGAGTCATTTCCTGTCAGCAAGCAGAAGTTAGGCAGGGTGAAAACAACAGGATTTAGAGTTTAACTCATGAATATTCATGAAATGCAAACATCTCTCCTCTGATTGGCTAACAGTAACATGACTCTTCCGTTGCTGTCGTTCGATCTTTATTCTTGAGTTGATGTTTTATCTCCAATAATAACACAAGCTTGGAGGTGTCCTGCTAATGCTAATGGTTGGCTTCTGCAAGCAAAAACGCTCTGCTCTCCCTTCCTGTGGGAGGTCCTAAGCCAGGGTGGGCGGGGTCATGAATACTAATTTCTCCTTTAACATAGAAGAGACTGACTTTTTCTGACTGGATCGTTTTCACGTCTATTTCTTTTCTGGCAACATAGAACTTGTGAACTTTACTTGTTAAATCGTAACAAACACAAGCGGCTTTCATTTTTTCCCATTTAGATCCAAAAGCATCAGAAAGTCAGAGCAAGCCTTCTGGCTATGGACGCCTAGTTTCTTCAGTATAACGACGATAAGACCCAGCGGTGTGGTGTTTCTGCACATGATAAGTGAGCAAACAGAACTCTGGGTAAATATCTGTAGCTAACTTTGTGACTGAGCAGTAAGCCTGACTTAACCCTGATGGTGAAGCTCATTGCAGATCTGAAACGACTGTGGGTGAAACAATGTGAGGCAGGAGGAGGCAGCAATGTTAGAGGAAACAGTCTGTGTCTCGATCACAGGAAAATAATGAGAAATACTTAAAAACTCTATGACCGTACTTACTGCATCATGACCACAATGTTGTGAACTTTGATCGTTGACAGGGTGCAGTAGTCGCTGGATGGCAAACACACGAGTCACGGTTAAACACAACTGGAATCAGCTGCTTTGAAAATGTTTTAAATTTTTAATCAAGATACTCACAACATGTAACTCATCTCATCAGCAATGGTTGTGGGGACCGTGTAGTCCAGCTGTAAGACGATTCATGAAAGGCTTTAGAAATAAGCTAGGAAGGAATTTGTACCACAAGTGTATTTACTTCTGTATCATTTTGTCTCCAATTGAACTGAAGTTGTCGCCTACCTGTCGCTCATCCAGAGGCATGATCACCGTTGTGTTGCTTAACTTGGCCTTGCCGATCACCGTCTTGGAGAACTGTACTTGAGCCGTAATGTTGGTCACAGAAATGGCGTAGTAGTTATTATTGGTGATGTTCAGCGTGTTCTGGTGAGAGGTCAAATGCAGGAGATTCTTTTAGGAATCACCTTTGTGTTAGCTACCAACTGTTCGAATGTGAAAAGGGACTAAACCCTTCAAACTAGCGACAGCAGCCCGGTGGTTGATGTAATCAACACCATTTTTGTCCAAATAGTCACCAGGCAGAATCAATACACAAACATGCAACACAATCTCAACGAGACATCGCACCACTCACTGTAATGGTGAGATAAACAATCCTCTTCTCCTGGTCGTAGGAAACGTAAGCAGACTTTATTCCCACGTAGGTGACGTCGATGGAGCGAGGGAACAGGAAGAAAACAGCCAGACCAGACAGCAGCAGGCAGAGAGACACTGATATGGTGACATACAGCTTTCTGGAAGAGAGGAAAAAGAGGAGTACTCAAAACCAGCTGATGCTTGCAGGCTGCGTCCAGCGGTAGAGCTCATCCCATCAGAACAAAAACGCTCAAAGTTAGTCTATTAAAACAGGACAGACTTACGTCCTGCTCGGCCGGAGCCTTTGGTCACTGTACGGAATCAGGGCCACAAGCTGGTTCTCCTGACCTGTTCAAGGAGTCATAAGATTAAAAAAATTGTTAATTAAATAAATAATATGAGCTGAGTGTCCTGCTGCTTCAGGACTGAGTGACAAATACGAAGATCATAGGATTGTAGGAGTGTGATTCGTTTCCACATAAAAATAATTATGAATCTTTGCATAAAACTCCCCAGACAATGGAACTTTGTGTGTTTTTATTTTTTATTATTTTAGTAGTTTGTAATAAATCACAGAACTTAAAGCAACACTGAGCAGGTCCTGCTACTCCTACTGGGTGAAAGTGGAATTACGACTGTCGCAAACAACCCTACAGTAGCCTGCAGCAGCCTGCTGTTGCTTGTGTAAACAAAGACTTAACATGAGCCAACTTACACTAAAATAAACCATGAAGTAAAAAGATCAACACTGTTGAACAAGAAATATTATTACTTACAAGTCCCATAGCAACAAGGCCAGGTCAACATCAGTCCGTGATTTTGTAGCCTTCTTCAGCTCGCTTAAACTAGCGTAGGCCACGCTGATGTTCACTCTGGTTTTAGCTTTGCTTCACCTCCAAAGACCTTACTCTTTTACTTTTATTTCCAGACTCCCCCACGATGCCAACAAAAAAGTAAATTTCTTTTCCTTGTGCTTTTTATTGACGTTCAGTGATCTGAAAAAGCTAACTGCCAGCATGACAGCTGTAAAGCTGCTAAAATGAGTAATCTATAGGGCACCTACCCGCTACACAAAACTATCAAGAGCAGTTTATGGTCAGCAGAAGGCTGTCAAATATGAAACTGCTCAAGTTTCTAACTCAACAATCACTGAGATCAATGTTAAAGATATTGGCCAGAGGCAAAATTCCTTTGAACGGCATGTGTAAAGAAGTATTAAAACCTCAGATGAAAAAGGTTTTTGGATTTTCACAGCTGGAATTGAAAGAAAATCTGATGTTTTTGACTGGCGCGGGAAAAACAGAAACTAACTTCCGGTCTATGCCCTGGGCAGCTGATGACGTTTCACAAGGTGATCTGCTGAAACAGCTGTAGTAAACAACCCCTGACTCCGGTGTTTCTGCGTTAGCGTTATAGCAGAGATTGTGAAGCCTCTGCTAGTCGGTCAGATTTGTTTTTTCCCTGGGATAGGGCGACAAGAACGGATATTGAATAGAGCTGTAGCGAAGCGTCGATGATGTCGACGGCTCGAATCTAAAAATTCGTCGACGTTAGATCCGGTAGTCAAAGTACCACGCCCACTTGTTGCATCCCCAGGAGTTTGTAAATAGAGGAGGAATCTGCCTGTTTTTCCTCTAGTTCGCCCTCTTCTCTGCCTTCACTAACATCTCCGCCACACACCGAAGACCCGGAACAATGTCCGTCCGCTACTAGATTCCTTTCCTGTTTTGCCGGCCTTCGTCTCCCAGCAACGGACAACAACTTCAACGGTCAAATGCGCTGTGCTCTCTATCGCAGATGTAGAAAATCACTGGGAGCGTTTCTCCCTTCATAAAGGAGCTTCTTTCAGACATTAGGAGAGCTGTTATGGTGGTAGCAGTCTCTCCTCCGTGCTGGTCTGTTTGCTGGGTGTTTTTGGTTTATTTAAACTTGGTAACTTGAACTTAACGTTGGTAAAGCTACTGTTAGCGTTTTTGCTAACAGCTACTTGCGTTTGGATAAGCTGTTTCGTTTTGGTTTAGAGTTCATCTTTTTTGTGGTGTAGATCTCCCTCTTATTACATTTAGAGTGTTGTATGTTTTCGGTTTAGTGTAAAATATCACCTTGAGTTTGGTTTAACCACCCAGTTTAGAGTTTGGACCTTTGGAGATCCTTATTTTGGTCCAGAACCCTGTAATCTTTGCCCAGTGTCTACAAATAAATAAAATAATGTGCTGCCAGTTTTACCGCTGTGTGTATACGTGGATATAACTCTGGAAAATATTTAGCCAATAATTTACCAGAATAAATCTTCCTGACCCTGGAGTAACTCGCTAGCTCGGCTCGTTGTTTGCACTAATCCAGGATGGCATGGAGGTTCTACCGGTCCCAGGAGGATCTATTGTTGAAATATGGAGATCATCTTTTAGATTATATATGTGTGTGTGTGTGTGTGTGTGTGTGTGTGTGTGTGTGTGTGTGTGTGTGTGTGTGTGTGTGTGTGAGTCATAGCTTTCCCAAATGACTTGTTTTTTTCCTTACCGGAGCTAACAAGGTCAGCAGTGTTGCTGCAGTCATGCTAACGGGACTCAATCTTTAGTCCAAAAGTAACGGTGCGGTTCTAGATGGATTTATAGATGTAGGTTAATATTTTAGATCACACCTATGTTATTTAAAAATGCGTGTAGGACACGGACATATGGCTCAGACCTTTTGCTGCAGCTTCAAAAGCAATTTTTTGTAATAATTAAAAGCACAAAAGTACACAAAATGCAGTTATTCACAATACTAGCAAGAGCAGCTACTTTGTTTTACGTGTTGGAGTGACGTATGCGAAACACAGTTCTTCAGATCAGATCAGATCAATTTTATTTATAAAGCGCATTTTATATGACGAGGAGCCAGAACAAAGCGCTGACAACACAGACTATAATATTTGCATTAAACCATTTAAAATCCTTAAGACAGAAAAGATAAAAACAGAATTAAAAATTAAAATAAAATAACCCACAACAAGAGAATCTCAGACCGTGTCAAAAGCTTGCCGATAAAAGTGTGTTTTCAGGACGGATTTAAATGATGACAGCGAAGTTGCCTGACGGACACTCAGTGGTAGGGCGTTCCACAATGCAGGTCCACATATTGAGAACGCTCGTTCTCCCCTGAGCTTCTTCCTCGACCTCGGGACCTCGAACAGTAGTTGGTCCGCTGACATGAGGTTCCGGGCCGGTTTATAAAAGGAAAGAAGCTCAGAGAAATATGCTGGGGCAAGACCATTCAGTGATTTAAAAACAAAAATGTAAATCTTAAATTTAACTCTGAAAGTCACTGGCAGCCAGTGAAGGGAGGCCAAGATAGGTGTTATGTGATCCCGCTTTCGTGATCGGGTCACTGGCAGCAGCGTTCTGCACCATTTGGAAACGCCTGAGGGCAGACTGGGTCACCCCAGAGTACAGCGAATTACAGCAATCCAGCCGAGAAGTAATAAAAGCATGGATCACTGATCGACAGGAAAGGCCTCACCTTCACCAGCTGCCTCTGGAGGGGAGGATTTTGATTTTCTGTAGTGATTTAAGACAAAATTCCTTAACAAAATTAAAAACTGAATCCAGTTCATGTTTATATAGATGGTAAAGTGTAGTTGTACTGAATTTCTACAATTTTAATGCCGAGTCTGGCCAATACCTTTAAAGCTCTAGTTTGATGTTTAAGAAAACGATTTAGTGTTGCTTTAAAAGCTGTGAATCATTTTCTGGGTTAACTTTGTGTTTTGAAACCCTGCTGAGGAGGTGTGCCATAATCAACTAACCATTCATGTAAAAACAGGTTTGGGTTCTTGTAACGCATCAGACAACATTCCTGCCTCAGAATTCACATGGATGATGAGTTACTGCAGAAAGAGGAAAACAAGAGAAGCAGGCATCGCTCAGAGGAATGAAGCTACAAGAACAGCTGCTGCAGGTTTGTCAGATTTCACTGATTATCTCAGGATGAGTTGGACGTTTGTGCTCATAACGACTCTGCTCGCAGTGACGTCATCAAAATTAGCCAATCAAGCCACATTCTTCGTTGAAGAAAAATGTTGTTTTTCAAGCAAAGAAGCCCAGTTCAGACTGAAGGTGGTTTTTTTATAGCTCCACTCGACTTGTTATCCATTTCTTATGCTTTTCTTCTGCATTATTTCTAGAAGATCAAATTCAGATTTTCACCAAAATAGTAAAAAAAAAAAAAAAAAAGAAAATAAAAGAGAGAAACAGCTTTGGCTCAGTTCTGAAATCCTTCATGTCAGAATTTGATTATGACACTCTGAAACTCCCCGTTGCAAACATAAACACTTTAGGTTTGCCACTTTTTTTATAGGGTCTTCCTCAGGTGTAGTCTCTAATCTCTAAACCGCTTTTCCCTCCAAAACTAGATTATGTGGTTTCCAGCTTTGGACCGTATCCTCACTACAAACACAAAAAGCGTGTTTACACTCCCTCGAAGAACAATATGAAACCTACTTCCAAGGGAGCGACATTAATGAACCGTGGCTCAACACTTTTTTTGACAAAACTACAAACATGAAGCTATTTTCTTAGCTCCATCCTTCCAACAGAAGCCTCTTTTTGTTGTTTTCCAGCAGCAACACACCCGTGGGTGTGGCGTTCCCCTCTGAGGCGTTGGTCCAACAACAATGTGCCACAAAATACAAAACATAAATCTGTAGAAGTGTCTTTACCCCGAGGGATTCTGCCAGTGCCCTGGCATGTTGGACATGTGACGCTGTCCCGCCCCGTGAACTCCACATAAGGGAACTGAGACACGTCTCCATTCTTTCCATCCTCCTCAGTCTGACCGTCTCTGAACTCGCCAGCAGCCGTCAGCGCGTCTTGACTCTCATCTTTGTGTTTGGTCAAGTGTGACTGGGCCTTGCCCATGGCTGCTGCTGCTGTTGTCTGCACACAACAAGATTAAAAACACAGAGTGAGAGAAGCCGTTACAAAAGGTTCTGCCACGAAACTGAAAGTAAAACTGGAACTGGACAGAATCCAGGAAATTTTTTCCAGGAAAAGAAGCTGCAGCAGGTGGATTTTGTCTTCATTTTATCAGTTTTTTTTAAAACACATTAAAGGTTGAACATTGAACAAGTCATAAAAAGCATTTCATAACCAGCCCAATATGATCTGGCGGCAGTTGGTTTTCTTAGTTTAGCATAAAACAATGTAAGTGAATTCACATACATTGTAGTGTTCTCTTTCTTAACATTCGTTTCGATGTCTCACTATGGGATACGCCCCTCCGCGGATTCCTCAGAAGCACTTATCTCAATACGCCAATCCTGATTGGCCAGTGACCGTGACGTACGCGTCCCCCTGCTACTATAAGTAGCAAGCGTCCCCACGCACGCACTATTCAATCACCTCTTCTCGCTTCGGTGGTCGCTTATCTCTGAGGTAAGTTAGCTCAACTGTTCACAGACGGAGCCTTCTAATATTCTCTCCATCGCCGAACGTTAACTTACTGTCCTTCTGTCCTGACCTTAACCATAGGCTCGGGGCATAACGAGCAGCTTCACACTCCAGTGCATCTGTTCGTTCTCTGCTAACACACCAGTTAGCCTACATGGAAGCCGCTCCTCCCACCAGAGGAGTCAACGGCGCAGGAGCTCGCCTCTGTACCTGTGGGAACAAAATCTCAAGCACAGACCCGCACAAGGTCTGCTCGAGCTGCCTCGGGCTGGAACACGCCCAGCTGGCATTGGAAGTCCCCGGGTCATGTGAGAGCTGTGCTTGCTTCAGCCTGAAGAGCCTTCGCCGGCGGCTAGAGCGCCAAGCTAGCCTGTCGGGGAAGGACCCTTGCCTGCCGGCCCCTGGGCCACCGCCTGGGGACGCCAGCGAACATGTCCTCCTGGAGCCGGAACCGTGTGCCGAACTCAGCTGGGGCTCACAGCTCGAACCGGCCGGTCCGAGCCACCCCGTCGAGGACGTGTTGGAGTTGGACTACGGAGACGACGAGGACACCTCGGAACTCCTCATTTCAGAGGAGGACGAGGATGACGACGTTTTTCTCCCCATCGCTCAGGCCTCCATGCCTAGCTTCCCGTCCTCTCCCAGGGATGGAGCGGCTTCTCCGGCCGCCCACCTGGACATGCAGTCAGTCTGCCGACGCGCTGCGACCAGGCTCAACATCCCTTGGCCCACCGTGGTCACTGAGGCTGTCAGATCCCGCTACGAGGGAAAGAAGCTGCCTCAGGCCACGAGGGCGGCAAAGCCTCTCCTTCCCGCCTTCCCGGAGCTTCTCCAAGAAGTGAGGTCCTCCTGGGACAAACACCCTTTCAACTCCAGGTCTCCTGTCCAAGGAGCCTCCTCGCTGGACTTCGAGGGGATGGAGAAGGCTGGCATGCTTCGGATGCCGCAGACGGAACCGCTGGTTGCAGCCCACCTGCACCCACGGCTCTCGGCAACTTCCTCCAGGCCTCCCGCTCTCCCCGCGAAGGCGGACCGCTTCCAGTCGGCGCTGAACGAGAGGGCGTACAAGGCTGCCGCCATCTCCGTCCGAGCTTTGAATGTCTCCTCCATGCTCTCGGCGTACCAAGCCGAGCTCTGTGAGGACATGAATACGAAGCCGGACCCGGAGGTGTGGGAGGAAATCACCATACTGACCGACATCTGCCTGCGTGTGCAGCGCTGCGCGGTCCAGGCCACGGGAAAAGCTAGGGGCATGATGGTGCTTCAAGAACGTGCACGATGGCTGAACCTCTCCAACCTCTCTGAGAGAGAGAAGGAGGACATTTTGGACATGCCAATCGTGCCTGAAGGCATTTTTGGCTCTGCCCTGGCATCAATGCAGCAACGGTGTGAGGCCAAAAAGAAAGAGGATGAAGCCCTTCATCTCTGCCTTCCCCGTAAACCTCCACCGGCGCTGCCGGCTCGGCCGAACCTGCCTCAGGCAGCTGTCCGAGCCCAGCCTCAGTTCCGGATCCCAAAGCGCCCGAAGCCTCAAGCTGTCCAACCAGCTCCTTCGGGCTCAGCGCCTCGACCAGTTTGGCCTCAGAGATCCGGCAACCAAGCCGCTCCGCCGCCGGGACAACCCACCCGACCCGGCGGTCAGCAGGTGAGGAAGAAGAAGAGGGCAGCCTGACGGAGTTCTTTCCCTCCGGACGCTGCAGCTGGCAGTTCCCCGTTCGCCAGCTCCTCCTGTTCGATGTTGCCATGGTGCTTTCTCCCCCCCCCTCACGGAACCCCTCCGGCAGAGTCCCCGAGCGGTCCAGGGTGGGGCCAGGACGTGCAGCCGGCTGTGCCGGCTCAAAACACACGTCACAAGCACTCACATTGTTTTTCACAAACATGTCACGCTCAAGGAGCATTAAAAAGTTCGCTGCCGCATCCAGACAAAATGTCAAGGGCGCAGCAAAAATCAATAAAAATGTTGCCCATGAGCAGTTTCAGGTGTGGGCGGCCCCTGGCGGACTTACCCGCCAGCCACGGGTCGTCCCCGTACGCCTGGGCCCTCAAAGCACAAAGCCCCCGCGCATGCGCAGTGGTTGCCACGAGCACCGCTGCCCCACAACCTCTGGAGGGAGCTGCTGCTCCGTGTGTCACGGCTGTGTCACCGCTCTCCACTCACATGGAGGAATGGACAGCGGTTTCTGCTTCACGTTGGGTGCTGAGAACTATTTCGAGAGGTTACAGGCTCCAATTCGCTTCTGTTCCTCCTCGATTCTCCGGCGTAGTGTTCTCCCACGCCCAGGGGACATCAGCTCACATCCTTCAGGGAGAAATCTCCTCCCTGCTGGAGAAGGGAGCGATATGCATTGTGCCTCCTGATCGGTCTCAGAGTGGTTTCTACTCCAGGTACTTCCTGGTCCCGAAACGGGGAGGGACCGGGATTCGCCCGATCCTGGATCTGAGGGCCCTGAACCGATGCCTCAGAAAGTACAGATTCAAAATGCTCACGCTCTCATCCCTTTTGCGTCTGATTCACCAGAGCAACTGGTTCACCTCAATCGACCTGAGGGACGCATACTTTCATATTCCCGTGTACCCTCCACACAGGAAATTTCTGAGGTTTGCCTTTCAGGGAGTGTGTTACGAATACACCGTGCTCCCATTTGGCCTCTCGCTGAGCCCGAGGGTGTTTGTCAGGTGTACGGAGGCGGCGATCGCCCCTCTGAGAGGGAGGGGCATTCGGCTGGCCACGTATTTAGACGACTGGCTCCTGCTGGCACGGTCCAGAGAGGAGGCAGCGTCAAACACGCTGGTTGTGATTCATCACTTGTGTGGTCTGGGTTTCAGAATAAACTGGCAGAAAAGCGCTTTACTCCCCTCCCAGAAAATAACCTTTCTAGGTCTGAATCTGGACTCAGGGGCTTTCACGGCCCGTCTCTCGACACCGCGCGTGAACGCGCTTTCGATCTGCCTGGCGCGCTTCCGCCTACACAGTTCGGTGCGGTTTGCGTTATGCCTCAGGCTTTTGGGTCTCATGGCGTCGGCTATTTCAGTGGTACCACTCGGCCGTCTACACATGAGAGATTTTCAACGCTGGGTGGCTTCTCTGGGTCTCTCTCCAGTGCGCCACAGAGCGCGCAGGGTGACGGTCTCTGCAGCGTGCGTCGCAGCGCTCCGCTGTTGGCGTCACCCCTCCCTCTTGGCACAGGGGGTGCCTTTGGGGTTGGTTCTTGTGAGGAAAGTGGTCACGACAGATGCGAGCCTGTCAGGTTGGGGGGGGGGGGGGGGGGGGGGGGGGGCTCCTGGAGGGTCGCTCTGTCAGGGGTGTGTGGAGCAGAGAGCTCTGGGGACACACATAAATTATCTGGAACTCCTCGCGGTCTTTCTGGCCCTGAGGCGCTTCCTGCCTTTTCTCTCCGGCCATCATGTCCTAGTGAGAACAGACAACACCACGACTGTGGCTTATATAAACCACCAGGGGGGGATGCGCTCCGTGCGGTTACACACGCTGGCACGCAGACTGATCCTAAGGTGCAGCAGGCATCTCCTCTCAATCAGAGCCACCCACGTCCCGGGTGTTCTGAATCGGGGGGCGGATCTGTTGTCCAGAGGGACACCCCTGTACGGGGATTGGAGCCTGCATCCAGCAGTGTTGGAACAGATTTGGATCCGGTTCGGCACAGCCGTAGTGGATCTTTTTGCCTCCAAGGAGAATGCTCAGTGTCCTCTGTTCTTCTCCCTGCGCGACCGAGACACTCCACTCAGCGTGGACGCGCTGGCGCACGACTGGCCACGGGGACTGCTTTACGCTTTTCCCCCAGTGGCCCTGATACCACCCACCTTGCTGAGGGTACGAACCCAGCGCCACGCTCTCATTCTGGTGGCCCCATACTGGCCAGCCATGCATTGGGTGGCGGACATTTTCCAGCTCCTGGAGGGCCAACCTTGGAAACTGCCGCTTCGCAGGGACATGGTGTCCCAAGCGGGAGGCTCGATCTTCCACCCTCATCCAGAACGGCTGGCCCTGTGGGCCTGGCCCCTGAGGGGTGTGGGCTAGTGTCAGCAGAGCTGCCCCAGGCAGTCATTCGAACCATTCAGAATGCTAGGGCCCCCTCCACTAGGTCCCTATATGACTGTAAATGGAGGGTGTTTGAAGCCTGGTGTCAGGGCAGGGAGGTCTCACCCTTCCAATGCCCGGTGAACGTCATTCTGTCTTTCCTGCAAGACTTGTTGGATGGGAAGAAGGCTTTCTCCACCATTAAAGTGTACCTAGCAGCCATTTCCGCCCGACACTTGGGTTTTGGGAGGAAATTGGCAGGTCAACACCCCCTGGTGTGTAGCTTCATGAAGGGCGTGCGCAGGCTTCTCCCTGTGTCCCGACCCCTGGTGCCCTCATGGGATCTGTCCTTGGTGCTGTCGGCCCTCTCCGGGCCTCCATTTGAACCTATGGACGGCCTGGACCTTAAGATCCTGTCTCTTAAGGTGGTGCTACTCCTGGCTTTGGTATCTGCAAAGCGAGTTAGTGACTTACAGGCTCTCTGTGCACCCATCCTGCACCCAGTTTGCACCAGGTGACATGAAGGTGTCCTTGAAGCCCAACCCTGCCTTTGTGCCTAAGGTGGTGGGCTCCTTTTCTCCTATTATCCTCACAGCTTTCTACCCACCGCCCTTCTCCTCTCCTGAGGAGGAGCGGTGGCACAAGCTGTGTCCGATTCGCGCGCTCAAGGAGTATGTGAATCGGACAAAGAACCTTCGCAGGGGGGGCCACCTTTTTGTGTCATGGGGTGGGCCTCGTAAGGGGAAACCCGTCACAAAGCAGCGGCTTTCCCACTGGATTGTGGAGGCTATTTCTATGGCTTACTCCTGTCAAGGCATTCAGGCACCTGTTGGGCTCAGGGCCCATTCTACTAGGGGCCTGTCTGCTTCTTGGGCCCTTTTTCGGGGGCTGTCAATCCAGGAGATTTGTGCTGCAGCAAGTTGGGCTTCTCCACTTGCATTTGCACGCTTCTATAAGCTTGATGTTTCGGTCCCTGCAATGACTCACACGATTCTGGGTGTGGGGTCTTTGGCGGGCCAAGACGTATCCCTGTAGGTTGGTGATCGCTGGATAAGCTGTCTGGCAATACGGTAGTCTCCATATCCCATAGTGAGACATCGAAACGAATGTTAAGAAAGAGAACTTTAGGTTACTATCGTAACACCGGTTCTCTGAGTAACATGAGTGAGATGTCTCACCAGACAACCCTTCTTGCTGGGCGAAGCGAGAAGAGGTGTTTATCTTGAATAGTGCGTGCGTGGGGACGCTTGCTACTTATAGTAGCAGGGGGACGCGTACGTCACGGTCACTGGCCAATCAGGATTGGCGTATTGAGATAAGTGCTTCTGAGGAATCCGCGGAGGGGCGTATCCCATAGTGAGACATCTCACTCATGTTACTCAGAGAACCGGGGTTACGATAGTAACCTAAAGCTTTTTTATGTAGGTGAATGCAAGCCTTCCCTTCCATTACTTTATGCTAAAACAACTGGTTACAAAATGTTTTTTCTGACTTTGCTAACTCTGGGGAATCTAACAACACACACAAGTTTAGGGACAGAAGATCCTTATAAGAATATTAAAATAATAAAAATGCAGCAATAAATGAAACGTAATACTTGTGCTTTGTAACAAAGTAACACTTTGTGGAAGTTAACTTGGTGAACTTATTCACCCTGGACAGGAAATAATTGCACATAAGAAACATAAATAAGAATTAAAAAAATGTTCCAAAACAATAATTTGTGTTCAAAGGAGTGGAGCCACACAACATGGGTTCATAAAGCTGGCTCCATCTGCTGGATAGGTAGCGCAATATCGGCCATATCAGCCGTCTTTTTGGCCGATAGCCGATACTGTTAATGACCCCAATATCGGCCGATATATCGGTCGGGCCCTACTTTTAAGTGCAAAGAGCACTGAGGAAGACTGAAGCCTTCCGTCAAAACTGTCAGCAGGTATGAAAAAACATCTTTAAAACATTTGCTTTACTAAAAGAAAAGAATAAATATGATCCTAATGCACTTTACAACTTCATAAATGTCCCATTATGAATATTTCAGAATTATGTGGTTGCATGCTGAGATAATTAGAACTGCATTTTTGTTAAAATAGCCAAGTAATGCATAACAAAAGCAAATCCTCTATGAAATGTTATGGACTGGAATTGTTTGCAACCTCTTTGCTCAAACAGTAATAAGCTGTTTCTCCAAACTGAGGTTGTTCAAACAGCATTTTTACAAAAGCAAATATTTTTTCTCATTACTTTTCCACAGAAACGTGTTTGGCTGCATTTCCCCCTCCCATTAGAATGGGAAGGGGAAATGCAGACAAGTTCAAAGACAAACTTGAAAGTGCTCCAAAAAGCTTAGAGAACTTTGGATCTGAACTGTTGATCGTGACGTTAGAACACCACATGGAAGTCAGAAGAAGCTTTCCTTAATGCTCCTAACCAGAATTATGACTCAGTGTCTGGATTATTTTCGTCGCAGATATATTAAAGCCTTAAATGCTGTCTAATATGAACATGTTGTCAGCCATATTTGAAGAATGAGACCTGACCCATGATAAGCGCAGTCGGGGAGTAACGGTAGGCACTGCTCCTGCTGCTGTTTGTGTTCGTTTCCAGCGGCCCAGGCCGCCGCCATGATGCCCCCCTTGCTTTAGCTAACCGAGAACACAGCGGTTCGGTACAGCAGACGTGAAAAATATCTAAAACATCGTTTTTTGCTTTCACGAAAAAAAACGATACACTAGTTCGTCTATTCGACACATTAGGAAGAAAAATGCGTCTTTCTGCAGCATTTGAAGCCAACTTAAACGGATCGACGCTCGCGCGACGCCACAATTCGCGCAGCTTTAGTGTGTCACCCATCTTCTACTATAAATATTCGGCTGAGAGGGCGTCTTCGTGATGGTTAATACTTTACCTTTGATGAGTTTTTATCCTGACGTTACAGCCATCAGCTGAGAAGTGTGTTTGTTGTGGTTCACGCACCAGGAGGGGAATCAAACAAGGACCGCCCACCTTCTTTCTGATTGAACGCACCAAAGCTAGGACGCTTCTGATTGGTCCTTTCTTAACTTCATCCACAAAGCTAGGACGCTTCTGATTGGTCCTTTCTAACTTCATCCACAACAAGACAAGCGCTTATAAATTATATTCAGTGACAGAAATGAATAAAAACATGAATAAAATGTTCAATATTTAACTATCAATGTAGCTATTAGTATCAAAACACTCTTATCGTATAAAAATGGCAAAAAGTAAATAAAAACCAAAATGATTTGGTAATTTGCGCAACTAAGGCCTAATCGGAATTTCGCTAAGAGGCATGTTGTCGTGGGATCCTGTGCTGGAGGAAGGATCAGAGTGTTAAAAACGAAACTGGTGAGTGTCTTCGCAACGAAGTTCTGCCCTGATCTTATGCCGAGTGTGCTGGCTGACTATCTGAAAGAAAAACTACATCGCGAGGTGCGGTGTAAAAAGATTAACAACAACCAGAGCCGATGTAGTTCCTTTAAAGTTTCGGCCGAATGTGAGGAGGTATCTGAACTGTATGATCCTCAACTGTGGCCTGGAGGAACCTTTGTGAGGCGTTCCTATAAGCGAAGAGCTGTGGCTGTAGCTGCAGGTGGGCCCAGTGGGGAGCCACTTACTCAGGGAGCATCCAGTAAAGCGTGAGAATTGGCCTGCGCCTTGGTAACGGGGCTGGGGATAGGGCACGTCGTATTATTGTCTATAAACTTTTGGAAGATGTTGACATTTTATGTCTGCAATAGACAATGCTGCCCAAACAGAACCTGGATCGGTTAAACTCTTTTCACTGCAATTTTTTTGGTGCTGGGGAGTCCACTACTGATCTGTCACCTGGAATTATTCAAGGAAGGATACCTGGAGGCGTGGCCATCCTATGGCACAAGGATTGTGATACTTTTATTTCTGTTGTCAGGCTGAGTGTGGACTGGTGCATAGCAGTAAAGATTGTCATGGATGACAAGGCATTCATGATCTTAGATATTTATATGCCATATGAAGATGAATATCTGGCGAAACTTGGTTTTTTCAGCTCATTTATCAGTCAGTGTGAGTTTAATTGTGTTTTTATCGTTGGTGATACGAATGCTGATATTTCAGACACTCGCTCCACCTTTGGGCAACATCTGATTCAGTTTTGTGTAAATAATAACTTGGTTTTAACTAGCAAAGAGAGACTGCCAGCAGACAGCCACACGTATGTCAGTGAGGCATGGCACTCAACTTCCTGGTTTGATCACTGTATATGCACATGAATTCATATCCAGGTGGAAATCTTATACTCCCTGGCAACAACTGATCACATCCCTGTTTCCATAGTAGTAAACTGTGAAACACTGCCTGTGCTGCTCCAACACCAGTGCCCCTCACACGCAGAGAAGCTTACTTGGGCTAAAGTGTCAGTCGAGGATATTAGGAAATATTACTTACTGTCAGATTGTAATCTGAGATCTGTTAATGTCCACAAAGAAACGTTACAGTGTAAAGATGTTAACTGTGAACATATGGAGCACAGGCTGCACTTATTCACTTTGTATCAAAATATTGTGGACAGCTTGATTATTGCCAGCGAGTTCCTCTGCCAGCAAGGATCAACAAAATTTAAACCGCTTCCAGGATGGAGTGAGCATGCTTATGCGTTACATGCTGACTCCAGAGCAGCCTGTGAAGCCTGGGCAGCTGCTGGTAAACCAAAATCCGGTTCAATATTGGAGTCTAAGAAAGCCGCGAACGTTAAGTTCAAGAATGCTGTTCGCTACATCAAAAGGAATGAGCAAACAATGCGGGCGAACTCCTTAGCGAACAAACTAAAGAATAATAATGTTTCGGAGTTCTGGAAGGAGTTAAAACGCTCCTGTATCAGTAAGCAGCTGCTACCTGCATCTATAAATGGGGTATCAGGAGATAAGAACATTGTAGAAGCCTGGAGGAATCACTTTAGCAGAATTTTTAACTGTGTAAATAGTGAAAGGTTCAATCTTGGCAACATTGACTACAATCATGGTATGACTGTCAGAGCTGATGAAGTCCGTCTCGCTATAGAGAAAATGTCTTTAAACAAAGCTTGTGGCCCTGATCAACTATCAGCAGAGCACATGAAGTATGCTAGCTGTAGAGCTCAGGTGTTTCTTTCATTGTGCTTTACCGGCTTTTTGAAGCATGGAATCTTGCCTGACCATATGTTAGATGTCCTCTTAGTCCCTATAGTCTTTGAGAAAACTGGAAAAATCACCTGTATTGATAACTACAGGCCTATTGCTATGGCAAGTGTGTTGTCCAAGGTGTTTGAGCATATTTTGCTGGAAAGACTGCAGAATTTTAAAACTACGACAGAGAATCAGTTTGGTTTTAAAGGTAAACTTAGTACTGACTTGTGTATCTATGCTTTAAAAGAAACTGTAAGCAAATACATGAGGCATAATACTTCAGTTTTATGTGTTTTTTAGATGCCTCCAAGGCCTTTGACAGTGTCAATCATCAGAAATGATTCATCAAGCTACAAAACAGAGGGGTCCCTTCATACCTAGTTAGGATTTTGCACTTCTGGTACTCTCATCAACTGATGCAGGTAAAGTGGGGAACAGAAGTGTCGGAACCTTCCGCCGTATCGAATGGAGTCAGACAAGGCGGGATTCTGTCTCCTGTCCTTTTTAACCTGTACCTTGACGAGCTGTCTGTTACTCTGAATGCTAGTAAGACTGGATGCTTGGTGGGTGACCGCCTTGTAAATCATTTAATATATGCAGATGACCTAGTCCTCATGTCTCCCTATAGCGCAGGCCTGCAGCAGCTGCTCAGGGCATGTGCTAAGTATGGTGAGCGATTTGACATCCTGTTTAACCCTAAAAAGAGTGTGGTTATGTTTGCTGCTACTAAATGGGACCTGAAGCTCAATTTTCCATCTTTTAACTTAACAAACTAGGTCCTCGAAGTGGTCAGCAAAGTAAAATATTTGGGGCACATTTTAAGAAGTGACCTCTGTGATGACGAGGATATTAAGAGGCAATGCGGTAAGTTGTACATGCAGGCTAACACTCTGGCACGTAACTTTGGCATGTGCTCAGATCCCGTTAAAGTATCCCTCTTTCGTTCCTTTTGTACTCCTCTCTATACAGCCCACTTGTGGTGCAACTATAGTAAGGTAGTAATGAAGAAGCTTCAAGTGGCTTATCAGGATGCTTTTAGAATCCTCATGAAGCTCCCTAGATGGACCTCTGCAAGTCATATGTTTGTTGTGAGTAACATCCCTACTTTTCATGCGCTTCTGAGGCTCTTCATGTATAAATTCATCTGCCGACAGAGTTTGTCAGCTAACGCTGTAATTAGAGCACTGTCATCTTTAACTTACAGTGACACGAGGTACTCCTCAGTCCTTTTTAAACATTGGAACAACTGCCTATATGGTTTGTAATTAGAATGTGTTTTTATTTTTATTTTATTCTTGTTATGGACATATCCCTTGTCTGAAATAAAGTTTGAAAATATGCCTACCGTTAGACTAAATGGAGCAATTATTTGGATGAGCATGATGAATAAAAATCCAAACAATTGAATGAATAGATCATTTTAGAAAAAGATTTACAATTCACTTATTTCCTTATGAAATAACTGTAAAAACATCAATATATATGAAGGCTAATTACATTTTTGAATTTTAAAATGACTAATCTTAGTTACTTTATTTGAATGGAACAGTTTTTAATTTGGAAGATAAAAAACTTCATTGGATGGAAATGTGTTTTTATTTTTTGGACAGTATCCTATTAATATTGCTTTTTTCTGTGTATTGTCCATATACAAATTTTAGTATTGATTTACATAAAATAAATAAAGTTAAGGTTTGTATGTCCTGTTCAGTACCTTGGGCCTCCACTAAGATGGTAGAAGGTGTTTTATAAATTGAAAATTGAAGGTAATGTCTTTAAACTTTAAAGATGCATCATATTTATTCACTTTCCCCTTTTTAAGCTGAGAGCCTCCATCCACCAATTTCTATATGATCAGATCTTGTTTAACGCATTTTAATAAACTGTGGTTGTTTTGAATCTCCTGCATGCATGACAGTGACTAAATTTGTTTTGCATGAGATTACTTATACATAATGAGGACAGCATCGTGAAATGAAAGGACCTACCTTTGCTTTGGCCTAAACGCCACACTGACCCCTCTGTTCACAGTCAATGAGCTGTTTCCATCCTCTAGTGTGAACCATAACTGAATTATAAATGTGGAGTAAGTGACTCAATAATCGCCTCTGAAATGTGGTGAATTACAGGTATATTGTACAAAAAGATAGAGAGAGAAGAAACAATTACTCATATAATAAAACTGTCCAAGGTGGAAGTTAAATGCAGCTGATTTCTGCCCTCTGGATGAACACATTGGTGCTCTTAAGTAGTTTATCATTTAAAGTGACATTTAATATCAAGTTCTTCTCTTATGTTAACTGCAGACAGAAACGAAAGCTACTATTAGAAGCACTTATTGTAGGACACAAAGTACCATTACTGTAGGTCAATGTAATTGTACTTTTATCACCAGCTGACTGATGATGACCCATAGTGAGGGATGTTGATCAGTCAAGGCAAAATCTGAGTAGCTGAGATTAGTCTGAGGTCCAAACACCAGTCATCCATTCTCTTTCAATGCCAAATGGTCTCTTGTCTACTTTAGCAATCACTATTTACCAAGGGTGTAAAGCAGTGGCGCCCCCAGAAAACTTTCATGAGGGGGCCAGTGAAAATGTTTGGGTGGCACACTAAATTGGTTCCTCCGGTAACTCTGGGAAAGTTGTGCATTGCATTTCTCCATAATTCTTTTTAATGAAACAACAAGACCAATGCTAACAATGCATTTACCTTGAATTAGAGAAAGATGATGCTAGAAAAAGACAACATTTTACAATTATTTCAGTTAAAGTTTCAGATGTTATTAATTTAAATTTTTGAAACAAGTTAGTTAGCTTGTT